CTGCTTTAAATGCCGGCAGGAACTCTAGCTTTGTGATGTGATTGATGTAGTGGCGTACTAGGTCCTCAATTTGGCGCCCGTATGCCTTTTTCAATGGCAAAAAGCAGCCAACATCAAGCGGCTGCAGCAGGTGCGACGAATGCGGCGGCATACAGAGAGCAATGATGTTGTTCTCCTTGCAAATTTGTTGGAATTCGAGCGAGATATGGCTCTTATGGCCATCAATAATCAGCAGCCGATGCGTGCCTATGGTGCGATCTTTTGTATGCATATTGAAATGCTGCAGCCAGGCAACACCAAGCTCATTCGTTGTCCAGCCATTGTCGCTCACTGCCATAACCTAGTCCGGTGGTATGTCGTCGCCCTCGTACCATGCAGAGAGATGGTACTTGCCTGCAAAGATGATGAATGGCGGGATGGCCCATCCACAGGCATTGATTCCTTGGATTATTGTTGTCCATTCGCGATTGCCTGGCTGTACAGCTTTTGGTCGATAGCGCCGCTCGGAGCCTGTTACAACCATGCTTGATGAGATGACGCCCATTTGGAAGCCAGCTTCATTAAAGTTGTATGTATCGTTATTAATAATGCCGTACTTTGCTTTTATATTGTATACAAGCTTAAACCAATCGCCAATAACCTCTGGATCTTCGCATAGAGCTCTTTGATAGTCGTACTTTCGATTAAACTTTGTTTTAAGCTCGTCCGTTCGCTTGATAAAGTTGTTTGGCCAGTTAATGCCCACTTGGCCAGCACCGCGCTCGGCGAGTAGCTTGTTGGCCATCTCTCGTACAGCAGTTAAGCTAGGCGAAAACCCTCGCGAATCCAGGTCGAGTATATGTTGAACAATGGCTGATTCTTCAAGCTTTGTAAGCTTCTTTGAATTAGGCTCACAATCGCGTCGTGCAGTCATTCCGCCGCGTCGGTCTTGGAGCGTGCTTTTGGGGACATTGTATATGCCTGCAGCGCGTCGTTCGCTTAGAATTTGATTTTTTCGGATAGCTAGGAGAGCTAAGGCTAGCCTGCCTTCTTTTTGGATTGATTGCGCGTTGTGTTGTCGACGCATATTGGTTGTTGGTTGACGCGTCGCGTTTTCGTGATGAGGTGGCCGACTCGCTTGTGTGGCCGACTCGCTTGTGAAGTACGTTAGCTTAAAAGCTGTGGAATCTCTAGATTATATTTTTATTTACTAAGTCTAGTAGTTTAGTAATAGTAAAGACCAGGTTTTTAATACTTTTAGGGTTATAGTAGTTATATATTATTTTATACAGCAAGATCCTTAATAGAATTAATCTAATTAGTCTAATTATTGCGTGTGTTAAGTATTAGAAAGTTGTAATCTTTAATTAATATTGTCGCGATAATTCCTGCAAAATCTAGTAGCAGGAACGGAGCTTTACTGCAAGTTAAGCATAGAACTTAGGCGTAGCAAGTTGCTGAAACATATAATAGATTGCCGTAAATTCGAGATAGACTGTTATATTTAATCTTTTTTTTAAAGGCCTTAACTCAGTTAATTTCTAAGTCCTTATCTTTGAATATTGGGGTTGCAATGTTGCTTTTTTCTGCAACCCCGCTTCTCTCAGAATCGGCTGAGGATTGTTGCCGCTTTGTGAGAACAACTGCTCCGTTGAGAGGAGAATTGTCTGATTTATTCGTCGCTCGTAGTGCTGTGTAGCAGGAGAAGAGCTACCGGGCTCATAACTGTCGCACTTAGGTGTGCACGGGATGAAGCAGGATTGGAAATGATATCAAGCAGCAGAGTATGATTGATTGTGTGTGTGTGGTGTCTCTTGTCGGTCGGGTTACCCCGCCCAACGTTCTATATAGCTTTGATGGCAAGCTTATTAATGCAGTTCTTGCCTCAGGCCTCCACGGCTGATGCCTTGGTCTGCGACATATCAGACATGCCGGGTCGTTTTGTCCTAGCTGGATTGGTAATTGCTTTCGACCGGAAGTACTGACCAGGGTGGCGATCTTGCATGAATTTGCGTGCGACAGCAGCCATAAGGCTGATAACAACTTCCCAGTATAGTAGCAAGGTTCTAAGGCTTGGATAAGGCTCTTTTATAAGCATTAGGAGTGATGGGAGCTTAATAATAGTGCTGTGGCGACGGAATTCGGTTACGCCATAAAAGAAGGCTTTCCACAAATCAGGCGCGAAGGCGACGATGCGAATGTCATTTTTCCGTAGGAGATGTTCCAAGGGCTCTAGGATGGCCACAGCAAACAACATATACAAATTTATGGGAAATATCGATGTGTGCAGAGAGCATAAGTTGTTTGAAGTTAATGTACCCCTCATATGTTGCAGCACGGTAGGTGTTGCGCCACCTAGGGACGGACTGTAGTTACTCTTACAAGGTGGCCGCCTAGGGCGGCGTATTGATAGCGGGAGGAGCATCCGGGGGGTTTGTATGTAGAGGTCGTGAAAATAATCTAGGCTTCGAGTAGACTAGCGTAGACAAGCAACTTCTGGGAAAATAAGATTGCTGGGTGAAGTGGCGGGTGGTGTCGCAGGGGGTCTAGTTCCATGCTACGGCGGTCTTCTCACGTGACGTTGAGCCTACCATTTGCGGGCCCCTGGTGTTCGCAATGCCTATGCTGAGTCAGCACGCCAGCCAGCAGCGCGGGGCCAGCAGGGTGTCCTCACTTGATCAACCCAACACCTTTTACTTCCGCCTCTTGTATCATGATAGCTGATTTTGAATGTTCTGCGGGGATGAACCGACGTAGGGGAAATGTAACCAGGGTGTTAAATATGCTTAGGGTTTGGTGGTTGTGCACATTCCAATTGGCGAGGATGAAGAGCACAGCCCTGACTTCTCTCGGATATCGGCGGATGTTTGCACCGATGGGCATTGAGGAGTCTCAAAATCGCCCAGCTCCAAAAGTCACCACGTCCCACCATCATCTGCGTCCTGCCATCACCCACTTCCTCCTTACGACCACCCGCTTTCTACGGCCACCCGCTTCCTACGGCCACCCGCTTCCTTCGACCACCCACTTCCTACGACCACCCACTTCATACAACCACCCACTCCCTACAACCACCCGCTTCCTACGACCACCCGCTTCCTACACATTATCCACGCTATGGCTTCGTCTTTAAGTAGCCATTTAAGCCGTCCAGTACGGTTTCTTATCCGCACTCGCCCAGCCCAGCTTGAGGAGATTCACCCTTCCGTTGACAAGGCTGATACCGAGTTACTCGAGAGATTCTGGGCTCAAATATCTGGGAGCGCCGACACAACTGAGATATGCCATTTGATTACAAGGATTTCAAGCAAGAAGGGCAAGAAGGGATTAGATCGAGTGGATATTGTTTTTGACTACGGTGTGCCTTCAGATGCGCGCCGACCTCTTGTTATGGCTTTTGATGTGAAAAACGGCGATTCACATTTAGTAGTCAAGCAACTGGTTAATCCAGCCATACAGCAAAAGGTGAACGAGACGGTGGAGTGGTGGAGAGAGATAAATCTCCAACATAACATCAGTTTTCCAAGTCGAACTGATGTTCGGAGAAAGGGACGTGCTTAGGTACAGGACCATCCTAATGCAGACGTCACCGGTGAGACGTACGCCTGCCCCGCGCTGATAGGAATTCGCTCCGCAGTAGCCGGAGCTACATGTACAGCTACATCCATGTGTTGCCCTGCAGCATGCCGCAAACGGCATACGGCTGTGGTTGGTGATTACTCACGTACCGTCTTGCCTGAATCTTACCATCTGGCTGGCTTTCAACGCAGCAGGCAACAGGCTTGGCAAAACTTCAGTTGGGGCATTTTCAGCCGGGAGCTTGTCTACGCCCCAGAAGGAGCCGGAACAGGCTACATACAGCATGTAGGCGCATCCGGTGAACTAGCGCGGAAAGCAAGCCACGAAAGTCAGCCCAGAAGTGGGATAATCTGGAAAGTAACACCTCTCCGTACCTTGTTTTTAACTGTTATACCACCCCAATGTGCACACCGCCCAACCCCCGCTGCTCACGTGATCCTGCGCTGCTATGGCTCAGTTCGCTTCAGGCCCGGCTCAATTCTCTTAGGTCTGCCCACCCTTGCTCACCATTGCTCACCCGTACTCACCCGCTGCGGCGCAGTCTCAGATGTACCTCACCAGGAATAGTCAAGCATTAGCAAGGGCCTCAAATCTGTCCTGGGTTACAAACTAGGGGGCCCGTACAGATTTGTAAGCCTTATCAGCTCAAGAACCCATCATCACACTTGCTACCAGTGTATCTAAAGTCCTTTGCTCCTCGCCCACTAACAGCGGCCAGCCTCTCTTCTCCTTTGTTTCAAGCAGTCGACCTCTACGGCAACACTGAATTATGCCTCGTTTCTTTGACGTCTCTATTCGCTCTAACGTGGAATGCGAGAACAACCATCTGATACGTTACCTCTGAGAAGGGCCCATTTTGGGTCGCGGGCCCAAATCTAGGACCTCTTTCATATTTTATGGAGGGAGAGGGCAGGATAAATGGGACCATCCGCACCCATGCAAGGGCAACGATGCAGCCTCATAGCAGTGCTTAAAAGTAAGAAAAGAAGCACCTTAGCTTAAATTTTGGGCCTTGATATCTATTTACTACTAGGCGCCAAAATACACCTAGGCCAAATTTACTAACGTAATAATAGACTCTAATTTAGATTACGTGTTAAACAAAAACAGCTGGCGCGATAGGCAAGATATGCTAGTATGACTGAGGCTTTTTCCTTTCTCGTGGTTTTCTACGATCCGCTTGCCCCCCTTCTTAGGGGCGGGGGGGGCCTGTTTATCCTACTCGGTGATCCTTGCTGCATAGGAACAGACTCTCAACCTTGTCCAAGGCACACTGCTGCCTTATCTTGCCCACCTTGTGCTACTATTGCTTTCAGCCTTGCGGCGTTATCGGCCGCGGGCTATCTGCGCGGGTTAGCACTGAGTCTCTAGTTAAATAGAAGGCTAGAGAGCCTTCCAACGGCTCTTGTCAGTCTCGGGAATTTACACCGAAGCAACTAACCATGGCAGAAATCTTGGGGCTGATCGCCAGCGTTATTACTCTCGCGCATGTTCTCGATGCGACTGTGAAGCGAGCCAGACCGTTCTTTAAGGCTGAAAAGGAATTCCAAAAATTACAGGCAAGTTTGTCCGAAAGCGCTCGAATGTCATCGTAAAGAGCTTTCTAGCGATGGGATCTCAAAACCCTAGCTTGGGAACGGAACAGCACTCGGCATATGCACTAACTAAGGCCACAGAGTGATCTTGAAAACTTCGCTAGTTTGATCGCTGAGATCAAAGCCGAAAGCCTAGATTCTTCCAGTGGGCGCCTGACGGCCATTTTGCTCGACTCTCAACGGACTATCGAGCAGCTCAATCGCATCATTCAAGGAAAGCTTCTCAGGCACAAGAATGGTACGGATCGAGCGCGACGCAAATCATGGTTCAGACACAAATCCAAGGTCGTGAAGCTACAGTCAGCACTTCGAGCTTTAAGAGACGATCTTCTTGCTACCGTAAATGTAAACAATCCGTGAGTATCCCAGAGGCCTTCGAAGCTAGTAGCGCTCTAACACGTCAGCAGAGCCTCAAATAGTCGGTCAGAAACACTACTTCTTGATATCAGTCATAACGCTGCCGGGTTGAAAGATGCCTCTGTGAGGCTTGACAGGAGAGTAGAGGCAATACACAAAAACCTTCTTGATGCCAACCGCACGGTCTCGCTACACACTAGCGCCATGCTAAGCATCCTTAGCTCTCTGCACGCATCCAGCCATTTGGAGAGCATGCCATTGGAATCAAGAATGCTCTATCGAGGATTTTTGGCTGAAGCCCTGGAAAGCAATAATTCCTTGACCACGGAAAGCATTTTCGAAAATCGCACACAGCCTACTGATGACCGAGATCCTGGTAAAGTTGAATCAGGGTCCCACCTTCCTTTGTGCGCCGAGCCTGCTTCATTGCTCGAGTTGTCCCACAACTTCTTGCCGGAAAGCTACACCAGCACAAGCTTAATTCCAAAAATGATCATCACCTCATTTTACGAACAAAGCACTTCGACTCTCTCAAGGACGGATGGCTATCAAGTCCTTTACTTCCAGTCTCCACGGCGATGGTTCCACATCAACGCCTTGCTTGAGATACCGCAGTCTTCTGTCTATTGGGCGAACACCAAGGTCTTGGAACAAGGGCACTACAAAGGGCGCAAGTTCTTCGCTGCGTCTTCTATACCAGGCTCGCTGCTCAGGAGATTACAACAGGGCATGGATAAACTTGGCACTATTCAAAAGAGAGCCCGCCATCGGTTCGTAATCTCTAATAACGACACCGTGAGACTAGAAGGACTTGAATCACCACAGTCCACACCACCTCACGCAATCTACAATACGCCCCACAAAACATCATAGCTTACGGAACGAGCAATACTCGCCTGCCTTGATGACCTAAACTGTCCTCGATACACTGAAGAGCAGATAACCCAAGTAGCTCTTCTCGAATCGCCCAATTGTTACATAGTCAGCCTCCAAGGCATCCTCGTCGAAGAAGTAAAATCCTTGACCCATCACCCATGTCCAGATTTCCTGTACAAAATCCAACTTCTGCACTGTCTGCGTGACGTCCCGGGAATAGTTGGCTTAATCGGTATAGTCATCGAAACGGCGAATCAACTGCTGAAGAGTTACCTGATCAAATGGCCAGACAGTAGATGCGAGATTTTGCTACATCACACGAGCAGGCATTCATCGGTGAGAACTTGGGAAGAAGTTGAGAACTGGACCAGGCAAATCGTCGACTTGTTGAGTCAAGTGCACTCTAGAGGCTACGTAGTCGGTACGCTGTGGCGTGAAAGACTGCCTTTTCTCGTGGATTCCCATGGAAAGCTACATCTCCACCGTTCCCAGTCAAGAATAGATATTAGCTCTTGGGCCGCTCGGTGGTATCCTCCCGAATATCGACAATACAACAAGCTAGAGGGCATGCTCCTTGATGATGTAGAGGCCGCGATTCCACTCGTCACACCCAAGTTTGATATCTTTCAGCTGGGCCAATTGCTTTGGTTTCTTGCGCAGAGCTGGGCGAGTGGTGAAAGCATCCAGTCCTTGAAAGAGCATTTCCTCATGCCTTCCGACTCTGTCGCTCTCGCCGAATTGGTTCCGACATACTACAAAGACATAGTAGACGCATGTCGCGCCGAGGATCCACTCGACCGACCTTCTGCAGCGAAGCTCTTGTCCCTGCTTCCGTCCGGAACTAGCGAAACTGAATTCCAGGGCGGGCAAGACGCGAAGCCCATATCCATCGACGTAGACACTATGTGGAAATGTCACCCCTGGTCTAACTTCTGTGATCATTGCGGAAAGATAATCTCAGGTTTAATTTTCCATTGCAATCTCTGCAGAGCCGGAAACTACGACGCATGCCTTGGGTGTTTCAAAGCAGGATTTCATTGTCTTGATCAAACGCATTTGCTGGTCGAAGTCAGGAGTGAGGGGAACATTCCTATAGGGAAACGATATCACTCGAGCGTGGGCAGCTCAGGACTTCGAGTGGTGACCGAGGAATGATGTTCGCCATTTAGCTCTAGAAGCATAGTCTTACTCTTTCTCCCAGGCGATTCAATATTGAGTCCCGCCAGAGATTCCACGTCTTTCGTCGTGCTCAGCTAGCCAGTGCTCACTCTACTTGTTAGGTAAGTTGGAGCCGAACCGTACAACCTTTCTCTTGGAGGCCTTGGTGGAAGAAGCCTTGACGTATATTTCAGTGAGTGAGGAGTTCATAACAACCTTGTATAGGTAGAATAGCATATCTTGGCTATCTTTGATACGTCACCGTCTTAAGAGCATATCTATATTAAGAATATAACCGTCTCAAGACGGTCCTATATTAAGAGCGTGACTATCTGGAGAACGTCCTCATCTTAAGATGCCACCATCTTAAGACCATGGCTGTCTTAAGAACATGCCCCCTTAGGAAAGTGGCTGTCTGCAGAATAGCCTGTAACATATCGGAGAGCAAGTTTACTCGAGACTTGGGGGGGCCTGCAGTGAGGATCCCTGTCCCTGTCAAATACAGGGCCCAAAATCGGGGTCCCAAGGAGCTCTTCAGTGTCGGCTCAGGACGTGCTCACCCAGCACAGCCACAGCTCAGGCTGGAGCATGAGCAGTTCAGTTCCCTGAACGGGAAAGGAAATTGCTTGGGTGCACATTGGGATATCGTACTACCTGTTATACCTCAGCTTCGGTAAGAATCAGTCTAGAAAGGGGCTTCCTCCGTTCTAATCCTACCTATTACACCTGTGGCTTCAAATCTGCGCTAGTTCACGGGATGCGCCTTGACGCTGTACTCAGGGCATGCTCACGCTGCTCCAGTTGCTCCGGTGAGCTGCCTGAGCCGAGGGTTACGTCCCTTTGATGCCCGCGCCTAAATCTATATTGTGCTACGTCTATCATAGCGACCAGGATATTCTTAGTTATATGGCTGAATTGGATGAGACCATATCCCGGCCACCCGGCACCGGCCGCACCCTTGTGGTCTTTCGCCATACCTCGGCTCAGGCATTCGGATCGCACATCCAAGATGTGGTCGCAGGCGCAGTTTTGGCCCCTACAGGCTTGGTTGTTTACAAGCGTCAATGCAAGTGCTGAAGTGCTGCACTATTGAAGGACATGGAGACATCAATTATTCTCCCCGAAACCCATCTCCCTCCTAGATACCAGTCTGGCTATCGCAAGAAAAACTACGTACATAAAACCCACCCTGAACCCCGTCTGGGTCTGGATGCGTTGAAGGGCCAAGTAATTGACAAGCTCCCCTCTGGGTTGGCGTGGGTCGAGCTTAATTCTGGGATCACAAAGACAGACAATAGCATATGAGTGGATCATTCTAGTTAGAACAGCTAGGTATAAACAGGGCGAGGTACACTTAAGAGCAACTGTAGCTTTCGATGTTGGAGATTTCATGTGGTTGCTGACGGAGGAGTGAGGCTGGGGAAATTTCGCGAAGACAGCACGGCCTGAGGTTCGTGATGTTGCCAGGAATACCCAGGTTTTCATTGGTAGAGGCATTGGGTTTCGCTACGGTCAGCAAAACCAATAATGGATTTGGACCGGAGGATTTTGGATTTAGGGTGGTAGATAGAGGCCTGGTTATACAGCATGTATGCACCCAACTTCATTATTCGCTGCATTACTTAGCGTTCTTCTCCTCGTTTAGTCACCTTCCCACCACGCTGGGAAGTATTCTCCACACGCCTCCTCAGCCTCCTCCTTTTATATGATACGGTTCCACGTTCTCCTATCCCACTTCTATCGCGTTCCAAGATTGGCCCAGAGCCGCATTAGAACCGCGATCATCTCTTTCATTGGCGCGTATAAATGTCGTTGATTGTCGAAGAAGCGCAAAATTGAGTTTTGCACCAGGCAGAGAGGAGCGGGCTCTATAACCTCTTGCCTTGAGCGGTGTGCTCCCTGTCAAAAAGGAAGGCATGAGAGTTGACGTTCCATGAGGCTCTGCGCTCAAGTCACATGGTGACTAGTTCTGCCGAAATGCCCTAGGAAAATAGTAGATGCAATGCACGATGCCACTAAAAATGGAATGGCCCGCTTAGGTTGTCCCTTGTATTATGGTACCCCTACAAACGTGCCACATCGGGTGCCTCCGCCAGCCGGCACAACCACGGAAAGATATATTGCCCAGCACTCCGCGAACCCTCACGCACAGAAGTCACATGGTAGACTTGGCTTAACCTCGCCAAATACCTGGCCAGAACGTCCTTTTCGTAGGATCAACGGCACAGCGCATATACATGCAATAAGATGGGGCTATAGCTATTAGGTCATCCGCCCATCGCCACAAGAGCGCCCATTTTCAAAGGATCATCGATGCATACCCGCGTCCGGTGAAACGTGCAGCGCAGGTGAGGGTGAGAGAGTCAAGAACCGTCCCAGCTAGGGTGAGAAAGCACATCTGCTTTCAATCACAGCTACCCCGCTCCCTCACTCATTCCGCGTCTCCTTCCTACACCGCTTCTTTCCTGCAGCTGAGCTCTGTTCCTCTGTTATTTTACCAGCTCGTTCTCCCTCCCTCGAATTCTAGCTCGCAAACCTGCAACGCGACGCACCAGCCTTGCAACCGTTTTGAAGCTGTCGGTCAATATGCCAGCACAGTAAGTAAATACCCACATTCTTTTGAGCTCGATGTAACGTAGAGTCTAACAATAAGCAGGGTTTCACCCATCTTCACACTTCCGCAAGAAATCTTGGCGAAGATATTAAAGCATTGCTCCATCAGTCCACCGTCCAGCAACTCCCTACTATCTCATGACCTCCTTCAGAATCGGCTCGTATGCAAAAAATTCAACTCCGCATGTGAATATATCTGGGAGCACACGGAGGATGATCACTATAACACGCTTGTCATTGGCCTCCGCCCATTGAAGATTATCGAGACCCTCTCCAAGAATTCTGTTATTTCAGGGAGGATTAGAAACATTGTCGTTTGTTGCGCGGTGTGCCCGGACGTCAAAACTATTTCTATGGAATGTCAACATCCTGACGAGCCAGGGCTGGAGTGGTTTTCGGAACACGGCTTTTGGAATTCCGGGAAAATGCCAGCTGAACGAAAGGAACAATTAGCCACCCCCCAGGCTTTCAAGAATGCCAATGGTGCGATACCTGCAAAGTCATGTGGTCAATCAGTGAAGACTTCGCCAAAAAAGGGAAGGATTCTGCTCAGCAACAGTGGTCTGATGTTGAGGAGTTTGCCCAAGATGTATCCACAGACAGGCTGCAGAACCTTCTTCGACACTTTCCACATGTCTATAGTGTGACGGTATGCGACGATGTCTCTCTCATTAGACACCAACAGGATATCGTTGCAACACCCTCCCAATGCCGAGAAATATACCATAAGTTAAGCCGAAAAGACGTCCCTCTCTTCAAGATCGGCCAGAGTTGGGATGTAACCATGAGAGTATTTGAACACCTCGGGAAAGGGCCGCTTGAGATCATGGCACTCAGCTTAATACTGATGCCTCAAATCTTCTTCCATATATCAAAGACCGACGAGAACACAATGACTCAACTAGTCAAGGGGGTTACAACTTTGAGCATGAGTGTTCAGACTTGCATATTCTGTGGCAGCGCTTGTTGTCGCACTAGCGAGAGCATGGATGGTATATCCTTGGGCAAAATCCTAGCTGGGATGTCATGTCCACAAAATCTCAACATCTTTGGCGTGAGTGGCCTTCAGAAGGCGTCCAACGGACAGATCGTCGAATGTGAACCACTAGGAAAGGATCCTATTATGTCCAGTGTCGTCAAATCCAGATTGCCTGGGCTTCAGTCTTTCAATCCCAGCAGGTTTAAAGTGAACGAGGAAGATCTTTTGCAATTTTACGAATCGAATTCTATCCTCAAAACCAATCTTCGACAAGTAGTCCTCAACAAACGATCCAATGGAGGGAGACCATGGCTCCGTTTGATTGAAGTATTGAAAGCAAAAGAGACAGAGGCATCCATAATCGTTTTGGAAGATGAAATCCCTCCTGGATATCCGGACGACTATTATAGCCAACATGAGGTAGATGATGGCGTTATCAAGATAGGCTTTGAACCTTCACTTGGTCTAGATCGGTTGCAATTCCAATTAACCGATATGTTGGTCAAAGGAAGGAAGTGGGTGGAGCTTCTTCCATAAGGGTGTATGCAATGCTAGAATGACGAGATGACCCACCTGATTTGGGTGTAGAGGAGCTAGATATGGGGGCATTTGGAAAGAGGTTCCATTTTGGTAAAGGGCGAGTTGTGGTATCATGTCAGTCACATCGTGGAGTAGAGGAATCGCTGAGAGTGCTGCTTTTCATATAAGAACCCGTGCACTTACGGGCGCGACGTCAGGCTTGTTGCGTATCTCGTCCTCATGTGTCCACTCGTCGACGTTGCTAAGCGGTTGCACACCGATCTAACAGTTCGGCGGGCCGCAAAAGGGTTTGAAGGGTCGCAAGATGGAAACTCATCGTTGTCTGAAGGATCAAAATCAGGAGCGGTGCCTGAGCGATGAATGATTCGCGGAATACTCGTAGTAAGGAATCATCGTGGAGAACTAATGCTCGCGGCATCATAGTAGATTCTTTAAGGGGTGTAGGATCGAGTAGCAAAGGGCGCAGTGCTACACGCGTAGCACTGTGGCCCATGCTAACCCTTTCTAATAGTTTTCCCACCGAATTGTCGAACAAAACCCGGTGTCAACGTGTTACGACAAGTCTATGAATTGTGACCTAAGCGTGAGTCGTCAACCCTCGATCCACATCAAATCCGCCCAGCTAAGCGATAGCTCGGAAACCCCAGCGACGTTCACGCAAGGTTACTGCGCCTGTCGAGGATGCAACAAGAATCCGCAGGACAAGCCTCGAAATCAAGACCCGCCCTTTCGCCCTGCAGCTCGCGTCCCACCCTTACAGGCGAAACGCCACCAGCGCGGTCAACAACATATACAAGTACGTGGTGTGGGACGATCTTGAACACCGGCACCGAGTCAAAGGACGTGTCCACGACCGTGTTTTCTGACACCGGACGCTGGCCTGCTTAGCTACAAGTCAAGGGAAGCAGAGACTGGTTCATCCCCGAACATTAACGACCTCTTCTTTTTCCTGTCCAGCTCCCGCTACAGGAACCTGACCGCGCACCTCGCCGCGGTGTGGTACGGGGAAGGCACGCAGGACACGGAGCCCAACGCGTGGGTAGCTGCGTTTGCAGTCCCGCCATAGCTATGAACGAGCACCTGCCCAGGCTCACGACGTCGTTCGTGTAGTTGGGCTTGGCAGACATGGTCAGGCGAGGGGGGTTTCAAAAGGGCTGTCGCACCGACGCAACAACACGGGATGATCGCGATCTCATACGAGGCCGACCCGGCCAGGACCGTAATCGAGATTCCTATCGTACTCGCGAATAGATACTGCCAGAATCGGAGTCCGATCCGGTTGCGGGTTGGAGACGAGTTGGCGATGTCGTCCACGATTACATCGATGTCCGCATCGGCACTCCGATTGGCGGACTTCCGCAGCCTCAGCAGTCACCAAGCCGGATAACAAGATTGTGGAGAAGTACATGAGCCCGTTGCTGGACGTGTTTTCATTGACATGAACTAGGTTTCAACCTTGGCGGAAGAGGAGTACGCCCTCACCCAAGGTCCCCACCCAGAAACATAACCAGAACGGTAAGGTTCATCGCGCCACCACCTCGAGCAGGCATCCTTATACCTCCACTCACCATAATCAAGCGAAGGCACCAGAATCCGGATGCGCCCCCGAGAGCGAACACGCAGGAGGACATAAGATGAGCTCACGTCGTAATCAGAACAAGATCCATGTCCGGTCCCACACCGCAGTACACGTTCTCGATTAACATCAGGAGCATGCTGACAAACAGGACTGGCACGACCATTCAGCGTCGTCTAATAGGTGTCGTACACTCAGGTCCGCGTGGTCGCACGAGCTTGTGCACTGCACGCACCCCACGGCGGCAACATGAACACACTAGGATTAGAACTCGAATATTCACATCTGTGCGATTTACGGGGGCCAAGGACCAGCCAGAGCCAGGGTCGCGCACGTGAGGATCGGCCTCAATGACCCCCCGGTCTTGTGTAGATGCAGGAGCCTACACGAGATGGTCACCATGGTCCTGACCAAGTACGCATCCGCGAAGGCGCTCACGAAACCTGCCGTCGTGATACACATGGCATCGAGCCGCCGGCAATCCTAATTCCACTCACGATCGCTAGCGGAAAGGCCACTAGAGGCGGAGCTGAGACTAGCACCCGAACTCGCTGCGTATACGAAGGTGTAGGCGGGCTACTTCGGCGGTGTGGCCATAGACAAGATTGTAGTGGGCTGCTCTCACGAACCTCCCGCTCGTTCATTCCTCCTTCTTGTTCGTGCTGAGACTAGGACCTGTGGTGCACCGTGCCGAAGACCTTTGAAACCTGGACTCTCGGAGTTCACGGTTTGGGCTGGCGTTGCAGGAGGACGGGGTAGGGCTGGATTGAGTGCGAGCTCACGGCAAGGAAGACTCTGGGGCTTTTGAAGAGTGTTTGATATATGGCGATGCAGTGTGCTGAGTCGGGAGACGCGCGCAGCCAGTCTTGGATTCAATCGAGGGAGTGTGAGGAGAATAACGAAGAGGCTATGGCGGCCAGACGATGGGAGAGAAACTGTTGTCATGCATAACGCCATCTCCATCGGCTAGCGGTAGATTATTTCGCCGATAAGCATGATACACGGCAGAAATCCCGGCTTGGCTTTTTCCATTTCCTTTCCTCAAAAAGACTTGTCCAGACTGGAACTGTTACCTCGTAAAATCATTCAAGGAAGTATATAAGGCTTAGAGGCTCGTACATTCTTCTTTCACAACACAAACGCTCAATCAGTACCACCCACCACCTACCACTAATCCACTATCTCCTCAATCCATTTTAGTTACCAAGCTGCATAGCAGGGAAGCCATGACTAAGGTAAGTAATAGCAACGCCTACTCCTCGGGACCCCATCTGTTTCTTTCCTAGACTACTCGCTAACGCACCTCACAGTCTCGACTTCTCGCAATCCCGCGGGAGCTCCGCGACATGATCTGAGGCCTCGCTCTCCAGGAGGAGCCACACGAGTCACCATCTCTCGAAGGCGAAGCCCAGGGTTCTGACAAAGACGTTTCTTCTAAGTGCTCCACGCCTACCGAGGAGGCTTTCGGAGATTGTCTTCCTGCGCTTTGTCGCACTTCCAACCAGCTCTTCGAAGAATCGACGCCGTTCTTCCTATCAAATGTAACCATAGTCTACAATAGCGCAAGCGAGATTAAAGGACTAGTACGTTTTCTCGAACAGATCCCTAATAACGAGGGCTTTAGTGCCATTCGTCGTCTGCAGCTTGGTGGTAAAGACATTATATCTCGAAGGCTGGGCGAGAACAAGGACTTCTCCGCCCTGAAGAAATTCACGAAGCTAGAAGCTCTCTTCCTTGATATCAGGCGGTGCGATGACGAGCAGCTGGACTTGTTATACACGGGCGAGTGGTATCGCCGCCGCGACCACGCTTTAAAAAAGCTGAACTTGGATGGACTTTTCGAGTGCACTTCATTGAAGGCAATTGTCATAGTCAAGACTGCCCGTTCTGGCTGCCCCTTCGGTTTAAATGACCTTCTGAAGTTGGCGCCCTGGATTCAGAAGCAATTTGTGGAGAAGGGTCTGGAGGTCCAAGTCACGACGGCAGAATGGTCGCACTGAAAAGCTCAGCTTGTGGTGCGGAGCCCCGCGGCGACACAGCGCAGCGCGGGACGGCTCGAGGTCGCTTTTTGCGGGAATCTTACGGATATACTGCATTCTAGCCTCCCAGTTGACGTCGACGTTGGTAAGGGTGTCTTTCGATGGAGTTGAGGTTGGAAGTAGTCCCCAACTGGCAATTGCCCAGATAGCAATGGGCCCCTGGAATATGTGAGCTTGAGCATCTACCATTAACTCTTGACAACGTGTATGCGCATGCAGTGCTGTACCTCAAACTCGTGTACGCTCGTCTAGTACCGCATGGAGTGTGCCCAGGGCGTTTCGAGATTATGGGAAGTATGCATGCTTACTAAATATCACTATTAGGAGTAAACTAGCAGCCTACTAACCGGTCTACCAAAAGCCAGCCCGATATTCATTGTGTAAGGCTTTACATCGTGTTCGAGTTGCTCAAAGCCATGTATAGAAGAGTATAAGCTCTTCTATTAGAATTTATATGCATTTTAGTAAGACTAGCGTTTTCCGTTAATGCGCTTAAGAATAGTATCCGGGTGTATTCTATAGGCGAATGCACTAGCTAAGGGGCTCCCGTAATGTCTAGATTAATGCCCACTAATAGCGTCCCGTATAATCTGTTCTTTGGCTTGTCCACGGGGCAATGGCGGCATGGTAAGTGGGTGTATTAGGAATAAGGGGCGTAGGGGCGAGGTGATTTTTGGTGTTCACAGCAGAATCGTTGATTCTGACCAATCAGAAATAGGCGGTGAGGCGAGCGCACAAGCCATTTCAAATACCCCGTCGATTTCAAGAACCCCCTTAAATACTCTACGTATAAGGATAAGAGATGGTGTGGAGAAAGGCCGTGCGGGAGACTAGCGATTCCGAAATGTGTCGGCAACAGGGATTGCTGCGCGGAAGCAGCAGGCCGGAGATCGGTGGCGGAGGGTCGTGCGGGAGACCAGCGATTCTGAAATGTGTCGGCAGCAGGGATTGCTTAGGTTAGAAGAAGGGTTCGTGCGGGAGACCAGTGATTCTGAAATGTGTCGGCAAACAGGTACAAAGGTACGATCGGAAGGTCCAAGGGTCGACGCAGTGGACCGCAGGCTACAAAGCGTGCGGCCGTCATAATCAAGACACCACCAAAATCCACGATTTAGCTGCGCAACCCCCACACGGGCACAATAATTTTTCTAGCCTTCCAACAACTATCAAAGACGCTCCCGCAAACACGCCTAGCTTTTCAGAAACTCGATATCTTATTATTTTCTGGGCATGCGGCCTGTCAATTTCGGGCAGTCTTGATGTTCCTCGCCTCGCTTGGTCGCTTGAGACTTGATAGCGCACCCGGCCGCAACCTTTGAAAGGAAAGATCACGCTCTTGGCGACCAGGGATGCCTATTGCAGCTAGCGCAACATCGGTGCGATGACCGGCACTTGATTAGCTGGTTATTAAGTGTATGTCAAACTTCGTGAACGGGCGTAGACAAAGCCCGCAGGATGGATGGAGCCCCGTGGGATGGATAACTTAGATGATATCTCCAATTTGGCGAATGGCGTCCCATTCATCCACCATCATCGCTGTGAGGTGACCAGAGCACCTACAGTATATAGCCACCGGACAGGATGCAGATACATCCTTTCCAAATCATGCAGCCGCCTGCGCAGGCGTATAGCCTGCGAGACCTCTGCGAGTCACGTGCTCGCTTAGGCCGGGGTACATACAGCCCCAGGCCATGCATCACGATTCCTCAAGGATTCGTCTCTCAATACACGAAATCGTCAATTCCATCTACGAGCTCCCTGCCGTGCACTCTTCCTTTACAATCGCCTGGTTTTCACAGACAGACATCCCTAGCTGAGCGCCTTGCCGGCAAAGCCAATTGCAACTGGCCAAGCATATTCCGCACACCAACACTGTCCGTGGTAATATAAGAGAGGTGGCAGTTCTAGCTTAAGTTAATCTTGAACGTCACGGGCTCCGAGGTTGACAATTGATTTGTGGCGACAACGATGTGGTCCGCGCTGTGGCCATCTTCATCGGCCATCGGTAGACTATTTCGCCGATAAACACAATACACCGTAGAAATCCCGGCTTGGCTCTGGCTCTGGGACTTGAGATCCGCCAGTCTTCATCCTTCCATATTTCCATTTCCTTTCCATCCTCAAAGACTCCCCACTCCACGCTCAAGTCTGTCCAGAAATAGCACTTCTTGATCTTCATGTATTTTTGCCGCTCATTCTACGCCCATCGTTTGCGTCGACCCTCTAAGCGCGTCGTCCGTCACTCGTCATCGCCATGACAGATCCATTGCGGTCAGCGATAATCAAAGCAAAGCCTATTAGACACGGGTTAGATGCGTTTCGCGAGTCCGCTCAGACGCTCTCTCAAGAGCTTAATGTCTCTAGTATCGCCACCGTGTTAGATCGGATAGGGAGCGAAGGTAAGGGTATTGGGCCTGTCATGGTGCTCTTCTAACAGACATAGGCCTTCAAGATCACGCCCTCGATCTCGTATTAGCGCTGCAGGCCCTTCCCACCTCTCGTCTATTGCCATCTAGCAGCGGCGAAAAGAACCTGTTTGGCGATCTCTCCCGACTCAACCAAGCCATCAACATCGGGGATTTTGACCCGCGACGGGTCACACCCCTCCTCATTGCCGTCATCAACAATGAGTCCGACGATATTATCTGGCACAAGGTCTATGACGTTGTTGCAGAGTCGATACCTCTCACGGCTGTCGCCAAACCATCAACGCCTCCGGCATCCGACCCTCCACATACCGCCTCTTTTCAGCAGACACCTTGGACATTCAACACAGGCAGCTTCGCGGACACATCTGACCTGAGAAAGAATGTGGATCCTATACTCAAGAGTGAAGTAGAGGATAATCTCAGGATTGACCATCCGGACTTTTTTGATACGTTCTTTGGACAGATTCCAAGGCTTCGTGAGATGACGACCGCGGTATTGCGGAGCTGCAAAGACGCGGAGCCGCCGCTGTTTCAAGAGGACGTCGGCTGGGTGGACTGGCCAGATATTTGCGAGGAGACAGCGGTACTGCAATTCCTTCGCCGCCACATCAACCAACTTCTACTGTTTGCGGATGAACACGGTTTCCGTCCTTCGAAGCGTCGGCGCTGCATTGCCACCCCGAACATGCCTATCCCTGGATCGGTCAGCAAGCGAAAGCTGGACGTCGGCCTAGCGTATAACTCAAGCAATGAGCTGGAGGAGAGTGATCGGCAAAGCTATGACTGGTCCCACATCCTTATCCCCGGTGAGCTGAAGAGCAATCCGCGAGAGGACAACTATAACAGTACCTGGCTCGATCTTGTGAGGTATGCTCGGGAGATATTCAGCGCGCAAGATACCCGGCGGTTCGTTCTGGGCTTCACCCTCTGCGGTTCGATCATGCGATTGTGGGAATTCGACCGACTAGGAGTGGTGGGATCTACGCCATTCGACATTAATAAGGATGGCGAGATATTTGCTTCGATAATTTTAGGATACTTGTGGATGTCGGAAGAAGAGCTAGGTTTCGATCCTACCATAGTGGAGGACGATGGAAGGTATACACACATTCAGCGGGATGGCCAAGTGGAACGGCTATGTGTGGAAGAGCTCATGAAGCGACAGCGTTCGGTTGCTGGTCGAGCCACCACGTGCTGGAGAGGTTCCCTTATGGACGAATCCAAGCGCGGGCTTGTGATTAAGGACTCGTGGGAATATGAAGAACGACACGAAGAAGGTCTTCTGCTCAAGGAGGCGACAGAAGCCGGAGTCAAGAACGTGGCGCGATACTACCATCATGAGACCGTACGCACTGGTGGCGAGGTGGACGACATACTCGCGAACGTGCGAAAGGGACTAAGCAACACCGTCGGCCGGAATCCATTCCAACGACGGGCAGCACATTCTGAAGTCGTCACGAGTCCAATAACTTCGAGTGCTTTAGGTCCGGGAAGGGGTAGGAGCAAGAGCAGAAGTCGAACCATCACGCGAAAGCGATCTTCAAGCAGTGTGCAGGCGTCGATGCCGCCTCCCAAGCGGTCATGTTCGGACTCCCCAGTCAAGCAAGACATGCAGCAACGACGAAATCGCGTTCACCGACGGCTTGTCATGCAAGATATCGGGAAGAGCATTTATGAGGGGAGCTCTCCACGAGCCATACTAACGGGATTGCTTGGAGGCATAAGAGGTGAGTACCACTAGATGTATTTTAGGCTATGGCTAATTTATCAGGGCACGAATCGCTCCTAGATGCGAAGATCCTTCATCGTGATGTATCTATCGGGAATGTCATGCTGAACATAGCGGAGGACGACGGTTTCTTGATTGACCTCGACCTTGCCATTAAAATTGACCGCGAAAACGCGTCCGGAGCACCGAGCAAAACCGGTACGAAAGTATTTATGGCGATCGGTGCACTTTACGGTGAAGACCACAACTTTATGCACGATCTGGAATCGTTCTTCTGGGTGTTGTTCTGGAGTTGCATCCATTGCACTGGTCCAGGTGGGCAACGTCGGGTGTCAGAATTTCAGGCATGGAATTTTGAGAGCACGGAAAACCTTGCAAAAATAAAAGCTGGCTCCGTTCTTGAGGAAGATAAGTTTAGCAAGGAAGTGGATAAGAATTTCGCCACGTACTGCACGCCGTTGATTCCTTGCATAAAAGAGATGCGGAAAGTAGTTTTCCCAGAGGGAAAGCGGTGGTTGAGGGAGGATCGACAGCTCTACTCTCGCATGAAGGCTGTTCTTCAGCGGGCAAGGAAGGACTTAGACAGCATAGAGTAATTGCATTTGACTCGGTCAGAAGCAACGAGTTTCTGATGTTGTTGGCTGCGCTAACCCAGTTCAAGTTGGAGGATTATGGCACGCAACCACGTGACGTTATGCCATCACCGCAGGCTTCTCTCGACCAATTTTCTCTTCTTTTAACTTTCTTCCTCTACTGCTCGCACGATTGAGCTGACCGCACGATTGAGGTGGTCGCGCGATAGGGCTGCTCGAACCGGTCGCACGATTGAGCTGTTTGCACGATTAAGCTGGTCGCACGATTAAACTGCTCACACGATTGAACTGCTCGCACGATGACCTGACCGCACGATTAAAGTGGTCGCGCGATAGAACTGCTCGCACGACCGAACCGGTCGCACTATTGAGCTGGTCGCATGATTGAACTGGTCGCACGATTGAGCTGGTCGCACGACTGAGCTGGTCGCACGATTGAGCTGCTCGCAACGATTGATCTGAAACTTGGCTTAGAGTAGACTAGTTAGCGGGGGGCAGCAACCTTAAATCATTTAAGGTTGCCGGGTCTCGCGAGTTGCAAGTAGGATCATCAGTTGGCGCTTATCAGGCTAGGGGGTTTGTCTTGCCAAAAACCGATTACAGTCTCCTAACATGCAAGCAAACTGTGTAAGGATCTAAAGTTATCTGTAGAAAGTTGATATATAAACCAAGTTTGGAAAAATGGAAGCGTACTTTTTACACAAGGTGTGAACCCTGAAAGCGACCGTCATTGACCTGATATACGTGTAGTAGTAGGGTCAATAGGGTATCGTCCTGACCCAAAATTTCAAGCTTACGTAGCAGTTCCCGAGTGAATTCAATGTCAGGGTGATCTACTCTTCTGCGCAGAAGACCGGCCGTTTCAAATTCTGGCGGGAAGAAGCCAGCCCAAGCCCAGTCAAGGATCCACAGGCTTCCAGTCCTGTCGAGCATTAGATTCCTTAGACTAATGTCCATATGGCACAGTACGAGATCTTTGAATTTCCCTGTGACACTCCCTTTTCCATATATAGATAGCTTCTTAATAAACCATTGCAGACTTTGTGCACACGCTGATATTTCCTACATTTCTCTAAGTCAACGTACTGTGGCCACTGCTGAACACTTATAACACCTCCCACTTAAAAATTACGGTCGCATCGTCGTCTTCGCGCCTGATTTGCGAAGAGCCCCATTTCATGGCGTCACAGAATTCCTTCGCCACTGTACCATTATCAAGCTATTATCACTCCTAATACTCGTTAAGGGCCTTATCCGAGCCGCAGAACCTCACTACCATTCTGGGAAGTCTTCATCAGCCTTGTGGCTGCCATCGGACGAAAATTCATGCGTAGTCGCCACGCTGATTGGTACCTCGAATCGAAGCGATCACTAATACCGGTTAGTGGGAGAGAATTCCATACGTACAAAATAATCACTATGGTGTAACGTGCTTCCCTCTGTGCCGAGACGCACGGTGTCTCAAATGGCTTGCGGCATTTCAACAACGATGAGCAACCTATGCCAGGATTCAGTGTGCAGTGCGCAAGGCTTCTAATGAAATTGTGGAATTCTCAGCGTCCGGCTGATATTCGGGCACGTGATGGCTAGACACGTGATGTATAGGTTTCTATACACGTGATGTGTAGATCTATACTAGGAGGCCTTCCTACTATAGATCTAGTCAATATTTAGGGCCGCACAGGCCCTCCCTACGTGTATATAGCCTAGCTAGATTCCTACATAGAATCGACATCTTTTGTCCTCCGTTTTGTTATCACGTGATCGGAATAATCACAAAATGGGCGACACGAGTGTCTCTTGGCGTTGTGTCTGCCTTCCGATGCAAATGCCGGCCAGCCTGCGCCACGACGCAGCCTCTTGAGCAGCGCCTACGACCACCACTGCATAACCTTCTCACAATCAGTCCTTTGACGTCTGCTTCCATTTTGTCGATCTTGAACCGCACACATTGCGCTGATATGCCGAACGAGCCGCACGAGTCGCGCTTGCCATGAGATCGCACCCGGACACTCAGCCATGGCTCTCATACGCCTTTTGCAGCGCAAGCCGGACGGCGAGATCGTCTTTCGCGAACCTACCAGCGGCGATGTCCCTGCCTACGCAATACTCACTCATACATGGGGAAAAGAGGAGGTCAATTTTGAGGACATGGAAGCCAACGCGGACATGAGCAAGACTGTGAGCAAGGCTGGGTGGAGGAAGATACAGTTCTGCGCGAATCAGGCAGCAGCTGATGGACTACGATACTTCTGGATAGACACCTGCTGCATTGATAAGAAGAATGCGGTCGAGCTCGGCGCAGCGATCAACTCTATGTTTCGGTGGTATCAGAACGCTGCGCGCTGCTACGCCTACCTTTCGGATGGCGAAAGGACATTGGAACAGGCATTTAGGACGAGTCCATGGTTTACCCGAGGCTGGACGCTTCAAGAGCTTATTGCACCAAGGCTGGTTGACTGCTTTAGCTCGGAGGGTGAGCGACTTGGGAGCAGATTGTTGCTTAAGCCTGAGATACACAAGATTACCGGCATTGCAAAGAATGCTCTCCGAGCCGCCTCGAAGCACGATAAAGACCCGCGACTCGCCGTCGATGATGACGAGGAGCAAATAGAAGATGACTTCGGATCGATCCTTTCGAATACAGCTGACATACAATCGAATGTCTCCGTCGACACAAGTTTACCTACCCGAGAGGGGAAATTGCATCTAGCTCAGATGCTGGCCACTCACCCTGATCTTGCCCCCTTGTGCAGAAAGGCTCTGGCTAGGATGGACAGAGATAGATTCATAAACACTGCTCGTAAGCTACTCAAGCCGTATTATCGAAATCTGCTCGAAGAAGTCAGCACCGAGCGGCAGCGGGCAAGCGTACAATTGCTTAAGAGCCGACGTGGGAGGCACCAGATAGCCGCAGGAATGGCGAAGCTTCTCGATGTCGACGTAGACAACGAAAACTCGGAAAAGCGCGACGAAGTCTTGGAGCAGGTGCAGAGACGAGCCGAGTATCTCAACACACGGATATCGCAAGTTCCGCATGTTGTACCTAACGAACCTTTTTCCGGCACGGGACGGCTGTCTGATGTCGTAAGCCATGGCCTAGAGGACGAAGTCAACTTCGACGACGGCCTTCTAGACGAAGACCAGTACTGCCCGTCAACGGGATCCGACGTCCCAGACTTTTCGAACCTTGCCGAGATGGAGGGATTCTTTCGGGAGTCAAAGCCATTCGGCTTGCTGCTCAGTGAATTCAGAAAGTTATTGCTTCCGCAGCAGCTGCGCCATGTTATCAACACTATCCCGCGAACCCAGATCTGGCTCTCTCCGCAACAGGATCGCACCCTTCTCAATCGAGCAAAGGCTCATATTGAAGACTATACTCAATTAGAATGGGATTGGTGGCCGCTTAAGCCTCGAATGAGAGATTTGAGTAGTGATGAAACAAGGGTTATTTGGAAATGTGTAAGATCAACAGCTTTCCAATGAAGTATTGACGATGGCTTATGTTCGGCAGGTTTGTGGGCAACATCTCTGGCTGGAGATATCAAATGAAGATGCCGAACTCATTCGGGATATTTTGCCTATCATGGACAACAATCCGCCCTGGTCGCATCGCTGCAGGCCTAAAGTAGATCGACCAACATGGGGTTCACGTGTCCCAGGATTTATATACACGGCTGCTCCTACATCAAGTGCGAGTCAGCGATATACGCCTTCAAGCAATGCTGGCTTGTCATCCTCCTCGACACCCGCAACTGGGGCTATTTCCTCTACCAGTAATGCGGGGCGGTCAAGTACGTCCAGCCCAAACATGTCTCAGCAGCTAGGAGGGACGACCTCAAGCCAGCAACCTATTGCTACCTCGATAACTTCGAACGCCACGAATCAACTCTGGGTCCTCTTTGGCGTACAAGGTCCACGCCGGCCTCTGGAGATGGACCACATCCTCGTCGATGGTGCGACCAATGACGATACCTTTTATCGCTCTCTACGGAAAACATATCAATTTCATCGAGGAAAGCTAAGATTGTGGTTTTCGTTCTGGAGGTTCCGGTATTGTGAGGTCGTTAAGGTGAGCGATTTCTCCTCACGAAGTGCATGCAGCACGGCCTTTGCTGATCCTCGTATCCTCTAGTTTAAACGTCTGGCACCACGATGGGTCATACGTGACCGCAAAGATCTTCCAAGTGGCGTAGATTACGAATATGATCCCCGACCACCCAGAGCAACAAACCCTCCAATATCCAGGCACGAGTTTGCGATGCACCTCAACGCGTGCGACCAACCCTGTCCCTGGTCTTGGTCCTACTTCCACGAATGCATGCCGCAGCTTAACACATTGACTTCGATCACGTCCATCCCAAAGAAACGCAAGCAGTTCAACACCACAACCACATCTAGTACCTTCACACCACCCGCCGATGCTTTTGCCTGGGGTCTAGAAGCGCGGCATTCTATTTCAGCACTCTACGTGGTGATATATCACGTACTGATCGTTGCGGGCCCTTTCGCATTTTGGGCATGGTGGATGACGAGACATCCGGGAGATATGCAAAATGCGAGTATACCGACGACCATTGTGCTGGGGTTGTTGTCCTTGTTTTGGTGTACAAATGGGATCTTAACACAGGGAAGAGAGACGAAAGAACTCTAGCTTTACCAAAGAGTCGCTTCTGCAAGTGAGGCGGCGCAAGAGTGATGTGAGCGAATTCTCTGGCAGTCGGCGGTTGCCGGGTATGTTCGCTGGTTACATCGTCAGCAGGGTGTTGGGCTAGTGTTGAGCATTCCGCTCTGGCCCGTCTGTGAAACATTCGCAGGGAATCGCAGGGAATCGCAGGGTCGGAACAGTACTACTCTGCCGATGAGCAGCAATGATCTTGGCGAGCAGTGCGACGAAGTAGGCTGGAAACCAGGACTTGATTCACGAGTGTCTAGGCAGAAACCAGGATCTAGACCCCCGTCTCAGCCTCATCCACAAACTCTACAACCCCCCTTTTCCCCTTACACCCCTCCCCCTCTACCGCTTCACTCCCAAATCCCCCGCAACCTCCCTAAAGAACTCGGCAAAAAACCCCCTAACTTCCCAAATCGGCAACGCGGTACTCACAAAACTCGAACAAAAGACCCAAATAAAGCTAATCACGACCCAGGCCGTAAAGAAGCCTTTACTGAAGACGTAATGGGAGAAGAACATTGGCATCGGAATCAAGAAGTCCATGATGAATGTCAGCACGAAGGAAGACACGCACGCGAGGCGGAAGGCTGCGCGGATTTTGTGCGGTTCTTCGGGGTTCGCGATTTCGATGTGGAGGTTTGGGGAGGCGTGAGGGGGCGGGGTGGTGGTTGGGAGTATGGAAGTCTTCTCGTGCTCAGAGTCCGAGTCCGAAAGGTTGGATGTTGAGGCGCGTGGTGTGGCTACGCTGGAGATGACGGCGACGTTGATAGCGCTGCAAGGATACGAGAAGGCACTTGGGGCAGAGCACACATCGACACTCAACACGGTCAACAACTTGGGCAACCTCTACAAGAACCAGGGCAAGCTGGGCGAGGCAGAGATGTACGAGCGAGCGTTGCAAGGATACGAAAAGGCACTTGGTCCAGAAAGTGTTGCTACTTATGTCCCAGCACTAAACACAAACTGGGGCCTTGGTTCGCTCTTCCATAGTCAAGGTCATTCAGCTAAGGCTAGGATAATGTACTCGAAGGCCCCAGTAGGATATGTGAATGTTCTTGGACATGACCATCCACACTGTCAGAGTCTGCGGGAGAATGTGAGTGCTTTGATTCCCGAAGCGGAAAATATCGACAAGAGGGAGGATTCACGGCCTTTAATGATTGAAGGGACTGCGGGAAATGGAAAACGTCATAGGTTGTTCAGAAAATTCGGGTTAAGGTAGCAGCCCTATGTTAGGTGCTAAGGCACCTATACAGTAGATCGCACTTGCGAGGCTGCGATCTGCCTGCGAAGCCCGTTCGGGTATAGACCCTCACGTGTGTAACGGGTCGTCTCTTCTCTAACTAACAAGTACTTACACAGTGCTCGATACAAGTCTATATAAGTGTGTTTAAATACAAAAGACAACTCCTAAGAAATCCATGGATTATTTCTGGATCGTAGCAATCTCCTATCGATCTTTCCTCCTGGGTGAGGTATTGCTGGTTTTGGGCCTTTTTCTCTATTGCGCGTCGTCCCTTGTCACGATAATGGAGGGTAGAGAGAGGAACATCGCCCCGTTTTGCAAGGGAAGCGTATATCCTAGGCACATCTGGAAGAAGGGCTTGCGCCAGCACCTGGCTGGCTCGGTCTACAATACACATCAGGCTAGGGGGCTTGTCTTGCCAGAAACCGATCACGTCTGGCAGCTAGACTAAAAGATATGCTGAGCGCATAGTAATGCGGCTCGTGCCCCCTCAGGGTGCTTCGGCCATACTTTGATGGCGAAACCCCATACGGGGGTGCGGTGGACGCATACTACGATGCCGTCCACCGCTTGGACACGTGCTACAACATCGTCCAATGTCTTCTGGACGTCCTCTAGACCAATCCAGGCGCTATCAGCGCAGCGTCGTTAAAAATTTGCCTGTGATAACACCACTTGGGTTCGAACCCGACCCAGTTGTGCGTGCTCAAGCACCAAGTATTCTAAGCGCAGTCGCGTATTACAACACTACGCCAGGCTGCCCACAGGCCAGCACAAAAAGAATAGAATGACTGGGGGGTTTACAGGAAGAGCAAGCGAATTGTAGGCTTCTATAGCCTTCCGGTGTGCACGCCGTAGGCGTGGCCGGAGCCTCGGGCCACGTAGGCCCCGAGGGCGCACGTGATTAGGGTTCACCTAATCTATGGCACGTGATCGTGCTTGTGCTTGTGCTAGGGGGACATAACAAAAAAAAAAAGAGTTAAATTTTGGGGAGCGCTACTCGTACACCCCCTTTTCACTACACGTACACCCCCCCCTCTTGGCGCTTCACCACCTTTTGATTGGCTCGGAGAGCCCGGAGCTTCCTCTAGGCATTCACCTTTACATCTTTCTACACGTAATGCTATACGTAAGGCCGTATATAATGCTATACACAAGGCCGTACGTGATGCTATATGCGAGGCCGTACGTGAGCTTGTACGTGAGCTCGTACGTAAGGCCGTACGTGAGCTCGTACGTGAGCTCGTACGTGAGCTTGTACGTAAGCTCGTACGTGAGGCTATATGTGAGCTCGTACATGAGCTTGTACGTGAGCTCGTATATAAGGCTATACAAATTGGTATAATGTAATTGCTTGTGTTGTATATAGCCGCATTTAGAGAGAGCATTCGGAATTAGTAAGCAAGTTAAGCAAGCGAATCGGAGGCTATAGAGCAGTGCTCTAAGCTAATTAGAAGGTGGCGAGGCGCTAAAAGGAGGGGGAGGGGTGTATATGTAGCGATTAGGGGGTGTATATATAGTAAAAAGGGGGTGTATAAGTAGTGCTCCCCTAAATTTTATTAACTTTTTAAGGCACTATTTTTTAGGAGCACCTTAGTTATCACCCCCCCTTTCTTTACATACCACCCCCCTTTTCTCTGCGTATCACCTACATTAGGCCTAGCTCCGGCCCGTATGAATATTGTTCCACCAATCAAACTTACTCGCTTGCCTCCGTATAGGCTGCGTAAAATGGAGAGTATGTATACACAAACTGGAAAGGATGCATCATCTGGGCCAATAGGACTCTATTCACTCTAGCTACTCTAGCTACTCTACCAGCGGAAAGCGCCTAGATGGCCACCGTCCAATTGCTGACTAAAAGGAACGCCAACTAGACCTGTATACCAAGGCCTCACACCGGTTCCTTCACCATAAACAGCCTCCTTCTCAGGTGTAGACATAGGGGCATCCTCAGGGGCTGGTTGGCTATCGGGGACTAAGGAAATAGAGCCCTGAGTAGCTGTTGGAGTGCCTGCTTGTCCGGTGGAGCGATCTGGAGCTGTACCTGTGAACTGTATAGGATTATTCAACACTACAATGGTCCGCTCGACCGCCGGCGTGCCTGTGGAGACACCTGCCATAGTAATTTGGCTAGTCGGTGTCGCAATCTGCACGAGCAGTAGTCTTACGAGCTCGCCGGAGATGCGATGTTCCTCCACGTGCCTGGTCCTCTTCCTCTACGGACGCGTGGCGGCCCCAGGGGGCGGCCGGAGGGGCACGGTGGTGAGGGTAGTGATGTAGAGGACGTGGTGTTGATGCATCGAGAGAGTGTGCGCTGGTGATGTAAATTCTTCATTGAGCACGAGCAGTCAAGCGAGTGAGTTTGATTGGTGGAACAATATTCATACGGGCCGGAGCTAGGCCTAATATAGGGGGGTGATACGCAGAGAAAAGGGGGGTGGTATGTAAAGAAAGGGGGGGTGATAACTAAGGTGCTCCATTTTTTATTTAAACTATAACTTAAGGAATAACTGTAAGAGTGGAACTGCATTAGGAAATGGATGCTTCCTTTGCGGGCAACGCGCCCTCGCTTGCTGACTTGCCGCTTTATCCTGGCCCGTGCTCCGACTTCATCCCATAAAAGCGTCCTTCCCTCGCCGTTTTACCCCCCTCCTCCATCCTCTCTTTCCCCCAACGCCTGCGCCTCCTTATGCTCGCTTTTAATTGGCCCCCTCTCGTCCTGCCCATGAGCCATTTTCATGCACCCATTAACGTCCGCGCACATGCAAGCCCTGCCCACTTCCCTTAATTTCGTGTCTTAGACTGATGATAGCGCAGCGCCTTTCGGGCACTCCTACAGCGAATTCCTCCCTCACACTCTTACCGTTATAATGGATGAGAACGTCCGTCTCCAGTTGTCACCGCTAGAGCCGCAATGGCCTCCTTTCTGCCGCTCAATCCAAGAGACTCCAATTCAGGCGTGCGGGCATTCACGATACTCAAAGGCGTTCCCCCCGTACTCAGGCATCCCTTCGCCTCCAGAGAGCCAGTACCCGCAGCTGCCGATCCATGGGATTCACAGGAACCGCCACGTCAGCACGGCTGCCTGCTTTGTTTTCTCGATAGTTTTCATCCCAAAGCAACACCGCCCCTTAGCGCTGCAAGCTCCCTTGTATCCCCAAATAGCTCCTAGCCACCTTGCGTTTCATTCTATTTCAGCCGGCGGCCGTGCTTGATTATGCAGACGTTACTTGTGCGGAATTGGTTGTATGCTATTGGCCCCGGAGTCGCCGTGTCTTGCAACTTATCAGCTCCAGCTGTTCCACAGACCGTAATTAGTCCACTGCTGGATCTCCGCTGCATGGGGCCATGCTACGCACCACTGAATCGGCGGATGGACGTCACCCTGGATCCCCCGAAGCAATGTGGCACGCGCATATGCATGGTCCGCGCAGGCTTGCAACGTTGGTGGGCGGACGGATCAACGGCACGGCTGCGAAGGGGTCTCTGCTTACCGGAGCACAGCCCGCCATAAAAGGAGCGTTCAGCAAGCATCACATATTGTCCCACGTATCCCCTCATGCGGTTACTAAGGCATTTCGCTCACCATGTATGCGACAACCTTGGCAGCACCGGAAACAACATTGTTGATAATAATGCCCCTGGACCAGGCGGAGTTAGATGGTCTCACAACGCGCGTCCCCTTTGCCTTACTCCGCCTTCGCCACTTGCCTTCCGTTTTATTCTGATCAGTCTCGGCTCGGTGTCGCCGCAGATTAGCAATTATATAGAATCGCGGCTTGGTAGAGAGCCGAGAGGGAACATTTTACGAGGATTTAAACAGCTACAAGCTCGCAGAACACAGGGCAACGGTCCTTCAAGCAGGATGGAACGCTGGCGTTGCTTAGGCGGCGTTGGCTCCAACGGCAACGGCTCACGGCACAGCCCTCACGTGCCAACGCTACGAAGGATGGTCTCAGCAGGATTGGGTGAGAATCCGAGGCGTACTAGGCTTGCTTCGCATCCTGCTAGCATCCTGCTGATTAGAGGCACTCGTCTGCTTCCGCCGACTCACTCTGTGACCAAGTGATTCGCGGTCGGGAGTTCCGATAGGTTGCAGTCCCCCACCAATATGGTATTTACCCAATGTCAATCCGCCAGCACGCCAAGAGTAGTGGGAAGAGATAAGCGTCCAGCGGCAATAACGACTCTGGAGGGGGCCTCCTTTCGGATGCATGCACTCGCCAGATGCGACACCGCAACTCGGTGACTGTCCTTCCGGAGAGTGTCATTTTTTGGGGCGCATGAAGTGTATATGGCTTATCTAACTCGCATCCACCAGACACAGCAAGGAGGGGTTGTTGAGCTTAGGGGAGCATCGACGGCAGAGCGTACGTACATGCACTGAGATGGTGGTTATCACCTTTACAAGCCATCGGCCCATCCCCATAATCAGTCACGGCAGGGCACCATTGGACACGGCACGAATTGTCTGATGCAGCGCAGTGGGTCGTTGCAGATCACTCGCTTATCGCCACCAACAGATACAGCACAGGACCGCATGCATGAAGTCACGGAGCATCTGATAACCACCTGTTTCCGTATATCGGACACGGCACGGATCATCCGATACAGCGCAGAGGGTTATGGCACTCCTAAGGGTGTTGGTCTAGCCCTTACTCAACGAATAAGGGCAGAGGATCTGCTTCGCCGCTAACCTCCTGATAAGGGGTTTGGCGTCACGATGGTGTCAGCTGGAATGCGACAGGCCGGATAGATGGATACGACTCGACCGCAGCTTCCTAAGGGCGCTGACCAGGCGGCAAGCTGAAGCCTTTGCAATTCATGCATTGCGGGTGGCAGTCTGCTCTGACTCGCGCCCTCTCAATGCACATGCATCACGTACATTAATTTGCTGAGAATTCCGGGGTGTCTTTCGAAGGCTGATGCTGCACATGAAGGCTATGCGCGAAGAGAGGACCTTATAAGCCCTGACATTTCCCCCGCCAAAGGCCTACCCAGAAAGGCACAAGGCAACGGCGATTCCAACGGCTCAACGACTGCAGATTCGCGACAGCAATACTGGCGACTTCTCGACCTCATTTCCATGTGCCTCCGGCGATTTCACTTGATTATATTAATTCCCACACTCGACCTTCTTTCCGTATGCCTCTAGAGATTTCACTTGATATAATTAATTCCTACACCTACCCTCCCAAAAAGTCGGCTTCTCGACGTCGCAAAGTCGTGACATCCGAGGACGCACCGAGCGGCGACTCTAAGAGGGAGAGGTCTCTTACCCCGACAATGCGGATAGCGAAGGCGGCAGGGTTGCTTTACTCAGGCACGTTACAATATCCCGATCTTGAATTCTTACACTGATAGAGAACCTGCAGATGGGAACGACAAAGAACATCCGGTGGTCATCGAGGATGATGGGTCCGATTCGGACTCGGAAGCTGAGGGAAGCGAAGCTGATAGGGAAGGTCTTAAGCTAGGTACGCACTTCGCCTTTATTGCAATGGACTTGTCTAACGACCAACAGATGATGGAGACGACAGTAGCGATAGCGATGAGGAGCTATCTGAGCTGGAGGATCTCTCCGACGCCCATCAGGTGATGGAGACGACAGTATCTATGAGGGGCTACCTACGCTGGAGGAACTACTCGGACGCCGACCTCTCCAAACCAATACCGAATCTGCGGCGCCAGACGGGAATCAAACGGATGATTCAGCTGAGCGCATCATTGCTGCGGCTGCCTCACCGTCTAGGCAGGGGCTTGGGACATGCATGGCCGCCGGTCAAGAGTCTTCGAGAGTCGATAAGGGAGAAAGACTCGGTGAGTACCAGATGCTGCGGTAACCGCGATCTTAAACTGACAGATGTAGACAATTCGCCGGCCGATATGGAGAACAATTGCGAGAAGGTGAATAGTGTAGGCGATCTGTTATCGACACCAAACAAACGGAAGCTCGATTATAATTCCGATGCCAAAGACGACGCCAAGGACCTGCGACCCCAGAAGCAACAAAAACAACTTAACCCACGCGATGATTCCCCCGCACTTTACGATAATGTCGGCATGAGAAACTGGCCATCTGCAACACACGAGCGGAATTACGCCCCATTCGCCGATGCGACTACCTCTATGGAAGTGCTGGACCCCACCTCGAAACCGGCCTCGGAAGACTCCCGTTCAGCAAAGCAGCTGTCGGCCCAGCCACAGGCAGAGAGCCTTGCACCTAGTCCTGTGCACACACCGATGTCGACGACGCCGCCGCCGCAGGCCCGCAGCAGCCATTTTCCACCTCTCAGAGTCAGCGGCAAAGACGATGGCGCCAACACCTCGGACCTACCTCAAAGCGACCTCCTTGAGTTACAGAATGGGCATGATACGTCACGAACCGCTCTTAGACTACAGGATTGGAGCACGATGCGTACGAGGACGTCTCGACAAGTAATGCCGTCCCAATCACGACACCTGTCTGGGTCCAGAACAGATAGAGTGACTCGGTCTAGCTCCCCGCAAACATCCTCTCTAAGAGCGACGGCTGCAGATGAACCCAGCATCGGTTATGGACTCAGCGCCAACCCGGCCTACCAGACAGCCGATGTTACTCTTTACCCTGTGCCAAAGACCTTGTCGATTGTATCAGCAATTGTCCGTTGCAATGAGTCGACATTGCCTCTAGACCAGATAGCGCTTGACACTAGCATTCTCGGAGAGAGAGGCCAAGTCATCCGGATAACCCAGGTATCGCAGGATTCATGGTTGTTACTGGGATGCCGATATGACGATGGTGCATCACACTCACGTCCTCGTCGGGGTTGGACGGTGCTCAGGGCAGACCAGAAGAGCAATCCTCACAGCGATGCTGCAAATCATAACGCTGGCCATCCAGACACCCACATGGGCGAAGAGGACGAGGACGAGGACAAGAATACAGATGAAGACACAACGGAATACAAACCTCATGCTATGGGCACTGATCCGAGGTTCAATAGAAACGATATGCGCTTCCGCCAACGAACGCGTGTACCGTGGTTCGAGTCGGACAACCTGCGGTTACTTTCGTACAGGAAGAACATGACCATGGGCTGGAAGGATATATTCAAACTCTTCCCAGATCCGACCCCAGGCGCAGTACGGACGCGCTGGCACATGCTGCAAGGGAAATGATCCATCGCTACGAGCATATCGATATATGTACCCTATCCAACTTGGCGATGCCGCCCTAATCATGTTATGGGCTATTGCTCGGCCGCGTCGCATTGGACCTACTTCTACGACTTTCGGGGCTGGTTTCGGTACGCGGCTCGATTTTCGCAGGTCTTAGGGCGATTCGTCGTGTGTTGTGGTCTCGATCTCAAGGGGTGACGTTGCCATATCGGAGGGTTTGGATGAGGTGCTGCCCCAGTGGGAGACCAACGGAGTTGAGAGGGGGGATAAATGAGCGTGATAAATTCGTAGCAAGTAATTCCAATATTGAATTCCCTACCTTTATAGTCACAATCGCCAAAAGGGGACCCCAATTCCGTTTCCGTCTTGGGACCTGAGCAGGCGCTGCTTTAACCTGAGCCAAGGACCAGCAGCCCTAAACACTGCCTGAGCGACCCTGAGCACACCATCAAGAACGCTAGTAAGGAGGATAATTGAATTTTTTAAGTTTGGCGCCTCACGCCTAACCTGTTCCCTTGTAGCGTGGAAAGCGTTTAGAGGTGTCATGTCCGCACCAATTTTAAAGTGTCCCGTCACTACCAGGGAGTGCCAAACACAGTGCCCGCGCACCGCCCCGACTTCTTTCGGATATCGGCACACCGATAGGCATCGAGGAGTCTCAACAACGCTCCTACTACGACCACCCAGCTCCAACAATCACCACGTCCTACGATCACCACGTCCTGCCATCACCTACGTCCTGCCATCACCTCCTTGCTACGATCACCCACGATGGGAAGAAATCAGTAGCCACAGCTTGAGCCTCACCACAGCACACCTAAGACCTACAAATTGCTTATCTCCTTTAACCGCATCTTACTCCACTGATCCTCCGCATGAATAAGCGCAATCCCCACGGCCGGATGGCACTCAGGTTGCAGCACTACAACCTAGGATCAACAACTCATATGCCAGAAAGCTACTCTCCGAACATCAGCTGTAGAGAACCCAGCTGAAATCTCAGCTGTAGAGAACCGAGCTGAAGCCTCAGCTGTGCAGGGCTCATCTGAACTTACTAGCGCGCCACCCTGGGGGTGGCCCCCTTCCTTCCCCTAGTATATATACAACTAGCTAGACGTCTATAGAAATCAGAGTTCACATCAATTTAACCTGAGTATGGCCCTTGATATCCGCCCAGTAGCGCGGCTTTTTCCCCCTGCTATCCAACTTCAACGGATCGGCTCCTCGCTCAAGCAAGTACTTCACAATCTCAGCTCTTCCAAACTCCGCCGTGCGATGCAGCGGCGTCCCCAACCCTAACAGCTCCCGCTCCCGAAACACCTTAGGCTCGTTTTCGTACTTGACCTTGTTAATCGGGGCACCGTGCTCCACAGCGCGCCGCACGACATCCAATGCATCGGGCGTGTCTCTTAGGACGGCGTACTGCAGCAGTTCTCCACGCCGTGCATCGGCGCCGCGGGTGAAGAGGTAGTCTATGAGATCGAGCGGCGCGCCCAACATGGCTTGCGATGTCGGCGTGTAGTCCCAGGCGCAGCGGGCATTGGGGTCGGCGCCGTGGTCGAGTAGCCAGATGACCATTTCTTTGTCTCCGGTGCAGAGAGGAATGCTAATACGGAAAGACTGTTAGCAGAATAGGAAGATTAAGACAGGGGAGTTACCTTAACACGGGCGGTTCGTTCCGATGCAGGGGTTTATTGATATCCCATCCATGCTGTAGGAATAGTTCCAATACCTCGAAAGCTCGACAACGTACCGCCTCCTCAAAGGGGAGGAGGGCGTCCCGGGTTGTGACGTTCTCGTCGAGGAGGAATTGGACCATGTCGAGGTCATGGCGCTCGATGGCGGTGGTGATGGAGCTGTACAACCACCCCGGGTGCGGCTTTTGGGTCTCAGACGATGGACGAGGGCTGTGGAGGAGCTGTTGGACGAGTTCTGTGACTCTTTTTAGATCGCCATTACGCGCGGCGTCATCGCACAGCTTAACTTCTGGTGGCCGATAAAAGAGGGCACCATCTCTCGGCAGCAGAGGTGGAGGAATCTCGCGCAACATCATGTCGGAAGTACACGAGAAATTGACCTTGTTTTGGTCGTGAGGTCAATTGAGGATAAAAGCGCATCAGTAGGACGAGACCAGCCTTGAATGCAGAGTTGTATCGTAAGTCACGTCACGGGAGATGTAAATGCCGCGGAGGTGGCTTGGCCAGCCTTCTCAGACCACAGCCGTTACTTCCACCGCTGCCGCGTCGCTATTCTACGCAATCACACAATCTACGGCTACACCTCGCGCGGCTGTCTCATCGGCTACCGCGGCGGCAACCCAGAGTACATCTGGTGAAGCATGGTGGCAGTGGAATGCACAATTACAACAATACCAATACGACACCCAGGTAGGAGTCCCGCACTCACAAGCGCATGCCCCTCTCAACGTCTGGGTATATTGCTCCACCCCTTAGGAAGGTGGACACAACTGGGCTCTCTGGGATGGCACAATCAGGCATTATCGATCATGAGTGGATAGTGGCAGCTAAGGATATTGCATAGAACACTTTTAAGCACGGTAAAGCTTGGAAAATTTGCGTGGCTCCATTTCATCATCCAAGGGATGCCAGCGACATCTAGGCCGAGCCGTCCGCAGGAACAAGTCGTAAGAGAGCAAACGGTACTAAATAACCTTCTTTAGCCAGATGAAGCGCTATCTACTCTCATCTAAAGGGATGCGCATCTTCGCATGGTAAATGTTACAAGTCTTAGCGGGTAGTCAGCCGAGGGCCAGCTCCCAAGACAGCTAGAATAATAAATGACCCCGAATTTCCCCGACTTTCCGCTTGGGCGCTTGACAGCCCCTCAGGTTGCGACTTTGCAGCAACCTACAATTGGCAGTCGTCGACCTCCTGGATGGCAAATTCGTATTTTTCGCATTGTACCAAGTTCTCCAAGTGCGAGCGATGAAGTTGTCCATACAGAGCATTTAGTCTCTTGCCAACCATGTCTAGCTGATATTGCCGATAGAAATTTGATATACAGTTTTGTTTGTAATCACCACGGCTACAGCAAAAGTCGTGTATAACGCGCTCAGAGTAGTCGAAGTTTGCCTTAAGGCGTAATGTAATGCTTTGCTGATATGACATTTCGGCCCGTATGTGTAGGGGTGATTCATCGCCGATAAATTCCGCTGCGGTTGATAGGGCACTTCGTTGGACCTGCACAGCTTTGGATGCTGCCAATAAAGATCCAGATACCATGTCGGGGGCCAAAAGCTTATAATGACGGCGTCGACCCTTAAGTGAGTGGGGCATGGAGGGGTGAAATTTGCAAGGCTGAGATCTGGAGCGCCGGGCCGAGAGTTCCGCCCGATACCAGCGGACTGCCACGTGACTGCTTCCTGACGCCACGCAAACCGACGCTCTCATCCTCCTCCACTTTTGCTGAAATGAGTCTGCCGCCGAACGATTCATGGGACCGGATGCAAGAGGATTTCGCTGCTGGCTGACGGGGCGACTTTCGACTAGCTTTGCTTAGTGAATGCCTATTTTATCATGTGACTCCGAACATGCTCCCTTCAAGCTCGTCCCCGATTTCTCCACGCTCAGTTAATGCATACTTCTTCGCAACGGCGAGTGCTATATTACTGGCGTGGATACTATCTTCCTTCTTAAGTCCCTAGTGGAGGTGCTGTTTATAGCAGAGGAAAAAAAAAATGCATTCGCCGCAAGTTAGATCCAAGATAAGGAAAGAATTCTTTGAACAGCCTGGATGTCCTTCTGGACCGATAGCTCTCACTTATTAATTTAAAACGGGTATTAAAAGAACGTCGCTATCTATTCAACGCCGTATCCTCTTCTCCAAAACCATCTTCACATTCACCTCCCACCACGTCCAAAACTCGGACCTGCCCCCACTTCGTAATATCAACTAGGTTGGCAAGCAACCTCTTCGAGCTCTCGAGAGTCAATGTATTGCCGAGAGCCAGCGGTCCAAAGAAGAAGAGCTTGTATTCATCTTCTGGGAGCGACATCGGTCCTTCTTCCGCTTCCGTTTCCTGTGCATCCCCTTCTCCATCTCTGGGAGACTTGGTTGCAGCGCTGGTGCTTGGCACAACACGTGCAGCAGCGACACGCAGCAGCCAATTATCGCCATCAATCTCGACGGCGAACACTGGAAACCCGAGATCCCACTCCTTATACCTCCGCTTTGTAAACTCGGCGGCAATCCATGCGGCAAGCTGGGCTGTTAGGTCGCGTACGCCGGGATTCTAATTATTGTAGCCTATAAGGATTGAATTAGGGTGCTTATCTGCACTACTGGGGCCATCCGTGGACTTATTATATGCACTTCCAGAATTCTCTTCACGCAGTAGCTTTATCCTGTTCCCTTTTTACGAACCACTACTCGTCTGCAAAACAAGGAGAGCCTTATTGTCTTAGGCAGGCCGCCAATCAAGCCATGTGCTATGAATTTTTCCTTGCCAAAATAGCTTAATCGGATATATGGCTGCTGCACCAGACTAAAAAACCGCACGATTAGATATTAGCTAAGCCGCCATAATAAAAGCAGGTGACGCGTAGAAGGCATATCTCTAAACATCCAACTAATTGACCGGCTTTGAAGCGATTACACTCTGGTGCAATGGGATATTCTGACCCTGGCGTCGAGGCTGCAGGGTTCTAGTATGCAATAAAGTCACAGCTGCACGGCGATGAATGGGTCAACTACGCCCCGTTGTCCCTCCAATGAACTTTATTTTGAACTGGTCGGTGAATTTGAGGCTAATTACTTGCTTGCCCAATCGCATCTGGTAGCTAGAAACCCCCGGAGCTGGAGGATGGGATCGGCTTACCGTCCCGTCCCGCTGGTTCTCCGCATTTCCATGGTGCTATAAATGGAGTCCATGAATCGTCCTGCAGATCGCCCGATATGCAACCATAATGCTCTGATATGTATGGTGGAGTATTGCGTAGGCGCTGGAGACGTCATATTTCAAGCTGCTATGCTTCCTGTGTATTGCCCCGGAAATGCCAAGACTGCAGCCTGAGGTGAAGGAGATGGCAGCTTGCATTGCTCTGGCCCTATATAAAAGACGGCACTCTATTAACTATACAGATTTTACCCAGTCCTTTAATCTTCAGGTCCTTATTAGCAAAACATCATCATTATTGCAACTGCAGGGCAAAGCTTCACCATCAAGTATTTACAAACTCCCTTCCTTATATTAGCCCGTCCTCTTAACATAATATGCGAGTGGGCTTGCAAGACATATAACTCTTGTAACGGTGACCCTCCCCACCGGATCCGCAACTATATCAGCTACTGTCCAAACGCACCTCAAAACGGCACCCAGCCATATATGCCTCCAAGCGGGAAACTCAGAGATCTCCTATTGGCCCTCAATGCTTAAGACACGGATATAGAAGGGGACTGTCCTGTTTATTTGGGAAATACGCCGCCTAACTCCTCTGATTAGACTGGTTAGTTCCCCAACGCAGACTAAGAGATCGCTGGCGAGCGAGCTTGCGAGCAGCCTCTCCGAGGTTTTCAAATATACTAGATAAAGCTAATTAAGTTAGGTCTGGTGGATAGTTAAAGCAACATACAATGCATCTCTTCTCGAAACTTTGAAAACTTGAAGTTCCAACTCGCTGAGGTCGACACCGGGGGTCTCTTTGCAATGGAGGTCAAGGACAAGATATAAATTGGAAGGCGAAGAGGGTTCAAAACATATATGTGTATAGTAGTCCTCTGGAGGTTTGAGATTTTGCGAATCAAAGAAAGCCGTAACCATCGCTCCCTGGTCTTGAAAATATTGTTCGCGACATCTGAGGACCACCCGCTTTGGTGCACAGTGTGATTTAGGCACGTCAGGAGGGACACCTTGTGCCAGTACCGGACTGGCTCTGTCCATCTTAGCTTACGGTGGTAAGTGATGGTGATAGGTAATAGTTATGGGAGGGAACCGAGTGAGAAGCAGCTTCAGGCAAACTGGACACGTGGCTTGTCCAAAGATATGGCGGTGCGCCACAAAAGGCTTCGCATAGCCACATATCTTTCAGCCACTGCAAGTAAATTTCGCCACAAATCGGAACTTTGCCCAGCCTGTGGCTGCGCATGGTCCCACCACCTTTTCAATCGCGCTGGCACGCGTTCTGGCGGCGACGGCCATCACAGCTAATGCAAAGTGTCTCCTACGACGCGTACTATCCTTTCGCACCCGCCTGCGACTCTTGAACAAGCATGCAGCATTTAATAGACCGCATTGACCCCCCTCTGTACGCCTAAATGCAGGCACACAGCCACATTTCCAGGCCATCACCTCAACCATCTTACCTCCACCACCACTCTCCAACTCCGTCAGCGACTACAGCGCTAGTATTAAGCCTCAGCGCTGAGGACTTCCCGCCGCGATAGACTCACCTCTCCCCACCACATCCCCATTACCACTCGACGCCCCTACTCACCGCGCTATCCTTACCATCCTCACTACCGCGCCGTCCTCACCACCGCGCCGTCCTCACCACCGCGCGCCATCCTTACCGTCCTTACCACCGCGCCGTCCTCACCACCGCGGTTCCCTCACCACCGCGCTCCGTTTTTACCGTCCTCACTACCGCGCCGTCCTCACTACCGCGCCGTCCTCAACACCGCGTCGTCCTTACCGTCTTCACCACCGCGCCGTCCTCACCACCGCGGTCCCCTCACCACTGCGGTCCGATAGTACATCGGTCCAATATTTCTCAAAACGCGCCCGGACGATGTCAACAAACCCTACCAAGTACATCTGCTATTCTGTTATCCCTCAACATGGCTCAACAGTCGCCCGACTACAAAATGCTGTTTTTTGAAGAGCAGCGTAGACGCGAAGAGGAGCAACGTAGACGGGAGGTCGCGGAACGTGCTCAGGAGGAAGAACAGTGCAGACGCGAAGAAGAACAACGCAGACGTGAGAATGCAGAGCAGGCGCAGGAAAAGGCTGAAGAAAAAACCCGCAAGACGTCTCTCCCTGAATTCCTCGATGCGTGTCACAATCACCTTTACTCGGGTCTCAACCGTCCAGACCAATGCGACGTTGTCGACGCGAGGCGACCCTGCGAATGCGAACAACAAGCTTCTGTCACAAACCTATGCTAACAGCTTCTCCCTTTTGTTTCCCTACTTTCTAGTACTGTTTCCATCGCCTACACCTTTTCATGATCGCCACTTTACAACGTTATTTTACAATCAGCCCAGTGTCAGTGAACGTGTATTTGCTTCTTCGAATACGGTGCTAACCATACTCCAGTCACACCCTCCATTCACCTTCCAATATTCCTGCAAGTGTCAGGCGCGTGGGTGGCATGACGATGAAGAGTGCCGCCTGTATCTGGATCGCCGATTCAAACGGTAAGGTAACGAGTGTGGTACTTGCCATGCCTCCGGACATAGCTTGCACCACGGATCGCGGTTCCGACTCCGATTCGTCGCGAAGAAGAGCAAAGGTAGCTAACTTATTGTTGATATGGGGGCATATCGGCTCGTGCGCCTGCGGCTAGCTGCAGACTCCACCAAGCGGGCGCACTCGGCTGCTCGCTTGACTGCTCACTTGACTGCTCGCTTGACTGCTCATGTGACTGCTCACTTGACTGCTCGATCTCATTGATTGCGCATTCGACTGCGACTCGCTGGACTTCTCGTGGGACTACTCGTGGGACTGCTCGTGGGACTGCTCGTGGGACTGCTCGACCTCTTGCTCGACCTTTTGCTCGACTCTTGCCCGATCTTTTGCTCAGCTAATTTGATGTTTCTCACATAGAAAGTTATCCTGAAGGAAATGTCAATAGATCGGATAAGTAACCAGTATCAGTCAGGGTGCGAAGACATCCTGTAGCACTTCTCGATGATCACTTAGGTGTTCCCTATGGCCACTAGTTTGCCGAGGAACACCCACTTTGAAACGCCGCGTGCGCCGCAACCCAGCCGCCGCAAAACGACGCACCGCCACCCTCTCGCACAGGTTCGCAGCCACGACTATTAAATCGCCTTAAGCATCGTTCCAAAGACCTAAGACCGCAGGCAGCTAGCCAACGCACAGTTGAGATGCGCGTCATAGCGGACGCCTTACCCGTTCAACAGTTCGACAAGGGCGGCCAGTGTTATGCACGTGACGCTGGAAAAGTTCAATGGCGGGGCATGGCTGAGGCTCGAGATTCTTTTATATAATCTTCCCGTTGGGCACCAACGCCGTTATGTGGCTTATCGACTTATGAACACATTTAAGTTACACTCCCATTCATTTGGCTCCATTTCGCTGGTCGCCTGCGCCGCAGCCCAGTAAAGCCGCTCTACGTTTCAAACCTACGATCCACCTCTCTTCGCGCTTCTTGCCTGCTCCATTCGCCAAGCCACTGGCAGGTGGTGCATTAACAGCCATCCAAGGTGAAGAGTATCCCTTCCATGGCTACGAGTATGCTGACATGTTATTGCGCGAATTACAGTTTTCCTCTCCTAGCCGACTTAGTCTGTCAACTGCATTTACTTCAAGCTGAATACAGAATAAGCTGCTTCATCCACCATACTACGGCAGCTAAGATTGTGCGACCATAGCCTGAATTCTTGCACTCCCATTTGTCTAGTGACAAATACCTATATTGACGCATTTCGCAGGCATCGCACCTCCTCCGCGAGCGAGCATCACACATCGAACGGCCCTCGAATCGAACGTCCGGCTAGGAATCTAGCTCATCGCTCTGATGCCCGAGGTAGGATCGACTTTGGCACATTTTCAAATTCCTGCGAATTCTAACGCGAAGATATCCGGGCCGAACAAACTAACAACGGGGACTATGAATTTCTCCAGTATCATACTTTCAAAGCGGTCGATGATGATAGACTCATGTCATGGACAGGTGGATCTGGCCGCATAGGTGTCGGTGTAAGAGAAATCACCCCTCAGAATACGGATAGCGACACAGAGGACATGCTTCTTCCTGGGGGGCGCGGTATGCTCGTGATGGACATGAATTTCAAATTAGTCCGAAAGGCTTAGTAACGAGTATAAGCTTCTGTGTATATGTACTTAATCATTGGGGTGGAGCGGGGTAGGTCCCTGTGGACTGTGCGTTTTATTGCACATTTGATTGCTCGATCTTCTGCTCGGTCGATCTTCCGCTCAACCCTGGCCCTGGTAACTACGCACTGGACTGCATGACGCCCAGCTCCACCCCACCGATTGTGCGTCCGACTGCACGAGTGGCTGCTCGGCCTACTCTTTGACGGGCCATTTCACGAAGTGTGCTCACGTCGGAGGCCCCGGTGCCCCGTCGCCCACTATCCTCCAATAAGGTCCATTGATGGCGCTGAGATGAGGACCAGAGACATCAAATGATGAAATGCTTTAATGCTCAAAATTATATAGCATGTTACGCCCGACGCGGTCCGTCAACTCGTTGCCTTACCAGCTCTCATTTCATCCTCACTGGTTGCCTTCCTGCACGTTTTTTGCGTCTTCCTGCGCCCTGAGTTCTTATGCATTAGTCGAACCGCCAGACTGTCCAACCAATCTCCTTCTTTTCGCCCATCCCAAACCTCTGGTTCGCATCTCGTTCCCCATTCAAAAGCAGATTAGCAGTTTCCGGGCCAGCAGACCTCCACAATGGCAGGGAAAGTGACTTTGTATAAGCTCGTGGTGCTCGGGGACGGTGGCGTTGGAAAGACAGCCTTGACCATCCAAGTGGGCCCCTCCACACCTGTCAAATGCCAATCACTAACTGTATTTCTAGCTGTGTCTAAACCATTTCATCGAAACCTACGACCCGACTATTGAGGATTCATACCGCAAGCAGGTGCAGATTGACTCGCAGTCATGCATGCTGGAAGTGCTTGACACGGCAGGCCAAGAAGAATACATTGCGCTGAGAGACCAGTGGATACGAGATGGCGATGGCTTCGTGCTGGTCTATAGCATCTCGTCCCGGCCATCCTTTGCCCGCATTCAAAAGTTTCACGACCAAATCCAACGGGTCAAGGAATCGAACGGTTCTACGTTCGGCCCCGTAGTGATGCTGGTGGGAAACAAGTGCGATAGGGTGACAGAACGCGAAGTGCCGGCCAAGGAAGGCAGCGCACTCGCTCGCGAGCTGGGATGCAGCTTTGTGGAGGCTTCTGCGAAGAAGTGCATAAATGTTGAGAAGGCCTTTTACGACGTCGTCCGGACGCTGAGGCGGCAAAGGATAAGACAAAGACAAGAGTCTTCTGGCGGCAAAAGAAGGGGCGTTCGCAAGAAAAACCGACGCGAGGTGCAAAGGGAGCAACGACAAGAGTCTTTTCGCGGCCAAAACAGCGACATGAGCAAAACAACCAACGCATGCCGTATTCTGTAGGGTCTGCGACAGTTGATTGTTGTACAGAGTACGTGAGACGTGCCCACATTATTGTTCTTCTTAGTAGGTATTGTCTTTGTCCCTGGCGTTGGCTTGTGTTGTAGGAAACTCATGTTTAGTTATCTTTGAAGGGGGAATATCTTTAAAAGAGATTTGCCAAACTATTCCAGGTTTGAAAGGGGTCGACAGGCCCGATCCTGTTCGACGGTTCGGAGCTGGAGGTGGAGCTGGAGGCGAAGGGTATTCTTGAGGCTTTGACATCTTCTTCCGGGACAGTCAGCAATTGTATATAGGTTAGTATCGCTTTAATACTCACCTTCTGAAACTGGTTTCTGCGTTGGTAATATTTGGCGGTATGCTCCGGCCTGGGAACGCCCCGCCGCGGCGAAACATGCTTGTCACGTGGTCTTCTCCCACGTGCCAGCAACTCGACCACTTGCGAGATCCTGGAGTTCGCAAGGTCCACTAGTTACTGAGTCAGCACTTGGCCAAGACCAGGCAATCCTATTCTGCCGAGAGGTGAAGGATCCAGCATAATAAAACAAACAACACTCGATAAACACACCTCAGCCGACTGTTATAGTAACAGGCCGCGGCGGAGCAAGCGCGGCCAACATGACTCTTTCGTGGTAGACGTTCCTTATACACGCACGCCAAGAGACGACGCGACGGAAGTTGGTTGGGTGGGTGGGCGTAAAGTTGGTCGAGGGGGAGGGGATGGCTTACAGCTTCGATGCTCTCCCCGGCCGCTCTCGTTCGAGTTGACACTTGGCGTCGGGTGGGCCGTCTCTGGCTCGCCGAAACTATCGCAGTGGCTTGCGTCGAGTCCTGGTCATCGCAGGCGTCAGACAAAGTTTTCGTGAGGGCCGCGATGTAGGATCGAGGCGCTTCATGGGGCAATTAAAAGGATGCGCTCATGCTAGAGACGGTGAACCAAGAATGTTTGAGTATTGTTTTTACCAGCTTGCCAAGATTGGGGAGGGATATTGGCACACCCCCTAATCACTCCGCGCACACCCACTAAATCACTCCACGCACACCTCCCCCTCTTGGCGCTTCACCACTTTCTAATTGGCTCGGAGCAGCGCGGAGCTTCCTCCGGGCATTTACCTTTACATCTCTCTGCACGTGATGCTATACGCGAGGCCGTACGCGAGCTCGTACGTGAGCTTGTACGTAAGCTCATATGTAAGCTTGTACGTAAGCTTATATATAAGCTTGTACGTGAGCTCGTATATAAGCTTATACGTGAGCTCATACGTGAGCTCATACGTGAGGCTATACATAAGGCTATACGAATCGGCATAGCTATACAGCCTCTCCGTTCTACGGCGCATTCTTTCCAATTCGTGCAGCCGTATATACAGCCGTACGTGAGCTCATATGTAAGGCCACACGAATCGGAAAGAATGCACTGTAAAATAGAGAGGCTGTATAGCCATGCCGATTTGTATAGCCTTACGTATGAGCTCACGTACGGCTAAGTGAATAAGAAAGGCTACATGTGCAAATGCACGTGAGAATAGAGCTCCGGACGAAGCTCCGAGCCGCTCCAGCCAATCAGAAGATGAGACGAGAGAGGGGGGTGTGCGTGGAGTGAAAAAGGGGGTGTGCGCGGAGTGATTAAGGGGTGTGCCAATATCCCTACCCCCAAGATTAGCTTTTATTGCACACTCAATTTTCCCACTTAGACACTTTGGTGACATGAATCTGGCTTCAGAAGCATCCAGATCTTTCTCGACTCACCATTTCCCCTTCCTCGTGAGCGGCGCCTCCTCTCTGTCAGGGTTCCCGAGGGAGCCTTCCTATACATGGGAAAACATAGGTATTTTTCCCCCCCGTTAGAACCGGACGGGCCTCCGAAACCTTTCCGCTGCGACCGTGAGAACTTATCAGATGATTATCGCACGCGGATCCTACGGCCAATAATTCAGGATTTCCAGCACGCGCTCTGATCCGTCACTACCTCCCCCCCACCAAAGGACATGCCTCTCTCAGTACCGTCTTCGGGGTAAATTTGGCGTCGCGACGAACACCTCCACGTTCACGTCGCAACCGTTCCGCGAGCCTCACCGTTGTGTAACATGGAAGTCGATACTGTAACGGTCACCGGTGTTTTGATGCAAAATTAAGTATCCGAGAGTAGTCTATCGAATACAAGCCAAAGCTCAGACCTTGGTCGCGATCTTCCTTTCGCTATCGCCTTCCAAAGGCAAATAATAAATACCCGGTATAACCTCGTCATTGCCTTGTTGCGGAGGCGGCTTTTGATGGTCTTCCAAACCCGTCTTCTTCGTGCGTGTGCGTGAGCGTGGCTCTCGTCCTTTCTTCACCACATTCTTCACCATGGTCGGTTTTTCCATCAGGCCAGACGCTTGTAACGTATCTGCAGTAGCACCGGGGAACCAATTCTGTAATCGGTTAGCAGTGGAGTAGGTTTTGAAGTGTGTGTACTTACTGTTGCCATCAGCATATCATATACCATAAAGTCTTCGCTAGCTATTGCACGAGCAGCTGTGAATTTTTGAGAGTCATGGAGCGCTTCAAATAACTCATCTGCCATGTGCGATGTAATCTCCACTGACGTATAGCACCTAGGGTTTAATCTAGAAAGAGTTTAAATATTGCCTTCTACTTTATAGCTATTTTGTTCTTGCATAAAAGTAACTGCAGGTTTTCCAACTCTAACCACGCTACACGCGTTTATTTGCGGGAGCGTATACCGCCTTTATTAAACCTTAGGTTATAAGCTATAGCATAATGCTTGCTTTCCGTTGTATCTTCACCTGCATCCTTGTTCTTGTCCTTATCTTTGTTGTTTTTGTCTTCGTCTTCGTCTTTAGCTTTAACATTCGCAGCATCGCTATAAGGGTTACTGTTCTGGTCTCTACTAAGCACCGTCCAGCTGCAACAAGTATATAAGTCTAATAGACTATTACCGGACTAGTATCCCAGTAACAACTATAAATCCTGCAATACCTTAGTTACCCGGATAACTTAACCTCTCTCTCCGAGAAATCTAGTAGCAAGCGCTATCGGGTCTAGAGGTGTTATCGACTTATTGCAACGGATAATTGCTGTTATAATCGACGAAGCCTCTGGCACAGGGTAAAAAGCAATATCCGCTACCTAGTAGGCGGGGTTGGCGCTAAGTCTATAATTGATGTTGGGTTCATCTGCAGCCTTTGCTCTTGGAGAGGATGTTTACGGGGAGCTAGACTAAGTCACCCTGTCTGTTCTGGGCCCAACAAGGTGTCGTGGTTGGGATGACGTTACATGTCGAGACGACTTCGTACGCATGGTCCTCCAATCCGTTGGTTTAAGAGCGGTTCGTGACGTGCCGCGCCCCTTCTTCCGAACATGGCGATTGCTTGATTCACGTCGCGGAGAATTTGTCACTAACACGTCATCAGCCTGACTGAGTTCGTCCTCATGGCTCACCCCAATTTCACCACCACTGGCGTCGCTTCTGTCTTCACCGTTCTCACAAGCAATCGGTTAAAACTGCCTCTCAGTATATATCTGATTTAGATAACGCTTTCGAGAACTTGGGTGACCCCTGCTCTAACTGTTCCGTTGCTGCCTACTTCTCCCCTAATCGTATCCTCCTCGTTAGATGGTGCCCTCATAACGGTCATACTATGTCAAGCCCACCTCGCAAGGCACATTCATTTTTAGAGATCCATTTAAGAAGTTCAACGGCTATCTTATGCATAACTAGAAGTAGGCGTCACATAGAAGATCACTAGCGCTAGTTAGAAGTCCACAAATATAAAACGTTCTGGTCGGCATATTCTCAACAGCAAAGAGCGGCCCTCCTAGAATCGGATACCGAGAGTTCCCGGTCACTCCAGACTGTTCGCTTGACGAATGCATGCCACTAAAGGCCATCTCGGGCACCGCAAGCCTGTAGAAGAGGCGGACACCAACGGCGACTCCGATCCCAGAGAATGGGCAATGACATCCCATGGATTCCCATCGAGTTCTTACACGTCTGCCTCAAGAACGACCATGTCATCCTCATCCACGTCGCATTCGAGATCATCCTCCGCCAGCTCCTCCTCCAAGTCCGCCTCGATGACATCCTCCTCGCCTGCGCGGTCGCCCGCCGTGAACATCTCCCATCGATTGGAATTGTTCTCCAGCGAGGCCGTGTCAACGCTCTTTTTCTTGAGCACCTTAAACTTGAGCTTGCGATACCGCACGCCGATGACGCGCTCACCTGGAGCAGTGAACGAGATGGTCCGCCCTGACGACCCGCCGGCATGCATGTTCAGCCCGACATTTGCAATGCCCTCGGGGTCTGGTATGCCCAGCGACTCGCCCACGGGAGCCTCCCCCGAGAATGACGCCTGCCCACCCCGCTGGCGGTCCGCCTGCGCCTCGGCGTCCTTGACGGTGATGAGTCCCACCACCAAGAACAGCGGGTAGTCTAGCATGGCCTTCTCCATCCATTTCCGCGTGTCCTCGGCGGCGCACATGTTCATGAAGTAGCGTCTCTGCAGCAGGAGATGATACCTAAGCAGTTCATTCGTCTGCAGGTCGTTGGAATTGCTGCCCTCGAAGGCTACGTCCCCCGTGAAGAGCCTGGATAGCTTTGCGCCGAGTCCTCCGCTCGCGCTGGTGGATCCGGCATCGCGCAGCGTCATGAAGGGGCTTGTCTCCACGTCGTGCTCCGGGAGGGCATCGTCAGTATCGGGCCAGAAGTCGTCGCCCGGGTTGCGGACATCGGTGACGAGACGGCCCAGGTGCGAGCTTTTGAGGGTCAGGAACCCGTTACGGTAGACGTCGAGGGCGTCGGGAGCCATGCTGCTTGTATGGGACCGGCGAAGGGATGAGGCTAGAGAGCAGATGATGACAGAGAGCAAAGTAACCAGTGGGTTTCCCTGAATTGGTACATGTCTGGGTATCTACCTTGGCCCACGGCGCCCGGGCCCGGCGCGGCCCTTCCGCCCAACGGCGCACGAATGGAGTTTAGTACCTACATTTACCCCGCTATCCCCCTCCTCGCCGCTCCTGGCAGCCACGACCTTGATATGCACATGTATGGATGCAGAAATTTGCTTCCGGTCTATTTCAACACCTTGCCTCGACGCTTGAAGAGATGCCCCCGCCTCCAACGGTCGAACAAGATCCCTTGACCAACCCAGGAAGAGAGGACCCTGACAGCGGTGACGAGCTTGACGATTTTGATAATGCCAGCGACATCATCGCGATCATCGAGCAAGAAGATCCCGAGCCCCGAGAGCCATCATCCGAGGATGATGGTCGTCGAGCGGCCATTCTACATCGAGCTGGAAACGAGCTGCTATGGCTGTGTCGCCACGAATCGGATGAACGTGAACGTGATCTTGCTGAAGCTGAACAGGAAACTGACAATTCCGTTGTTTCCGATACGACAGCGTCAAGCACAGCACCAGATCCCATTTCCAGCGTTGAAGTCCTCTCAAGACACTTCTCTTGCCTGGCCCTGCCTGAGCGCCTAGACAAAGCCACCCAGCTTCTCAAACGAGCTGCTGAGGGCACTGCCCCCGAAGACCGGTGGGACAAAATGCGTCGCCTTCGGGACTTCGGCTTAGCGCTGGGAGACAAGTACTATACGACGTTCTCCATCAATGACATCGATGCCGCCGTCGAAGCCCATCGTCAAGTCCTCGATCTCTTACGTGATGAAGACGATGACATCGACGAGATGACTTCACTGGCAGACCTTGGCTATGCGCTGAAGGCTCGATTGAAGCATCGAGACACAGAACTCTCTTGGGATATGGAAGGCGGCGCAAAGGACTTGGAAGACGCCGATGCTATGGCCAGCTTGTTCCTGCTCGCTGCTCAACTAATCCTCAAAGGCGATCCAGACCAGTCCTACCAAGCAAACCAGGCGATCTACCTGAACAATCACGGGTATGCGCTGTTCTGGAAGTTTCGGCGTATCTCGCACCTACGAGACCATCTCGACGCAGGCATGAAAGCGTTCGAGGATGCGGTGGTGGTCGATGCAACAACCACGAATCCAGAGCGGCTCTCGCTGCTCTCAGATTTGGCCGATGCCGTAGGCGAGAGATTCCAGATGACGACCTCGGAAGAAGACCTTGAGAAGCTGGCAGCCACGGTCCGAGAGATCACTGGAATGGCTGCCGCCGAAAACGCTACCAAAGCCGTGTACCTGAACCGGCTAGGGAATGCATATCGCATGCTCTTCGACGTCACAAAGTCCATCGGGCACTTGGACAATAGCATCCAAGCATACGACTCAACACTTCTGCTCTCTCCTGAGGACGACGTTGGCCGAGAAATCCCGTTGTCCAGCCTGGGCATGGCACACTTTGCCCGTTACGAGGGACTCGGCCTTCCAGAGGATCTGGACAAGGCAATCGGCGCATTGCAGCCAGCTGCTGCGCTGGCCGCTGCGAGCGACCAACAACTGTACGGGGAGATACTGAACATCCTGGGCATTGCACTACGAGTACACTTCGAGCTGACTGGAAATCTCCATGTCAGCTCGCTGCACAAGGCCATCGAGACGAACAGAAGACTGCTTGATCACCTGGGCCACGCCAAAGGCCGAGAGCAAGACGAGGGCAAAACGCAAGAGCGCGCAGCGACCTTGAGCAATCTAGGTGCATGCCTCCAGACTCAATTCGATGGGAATGGTCTGCCAGGCACCCTGGAGGAGGCCATCGCCGTTCAGCGGCAGGCTATCGACCTGTCGCCGACGACTGATTCTTCAAGATCAGTGAGACTTGCTGGCTTGGCAGAATCCTACAGAAGGCGTTATGATCTGTTGGGCAAGATCGAGGACGTAACCGCTGCCATACAACTCGGCAAGGAAGCCATTGCTGTCACGGGACTGGATATGCTATTTCCCAACGAGTTCCCGTTGATGCTCACCAACCTTGGCCTGGCCTTGGTCAGGCGATATGAGGTGCTCGGCGTTGTCGAAGATCTCGAGGAATCGATGGAATATTGCAAATCGGCAGAGGAAGCGTCGCGCGACAAGCCTACGGTGCATCCCCTCTGCCGCAACAACCGCAGTTACTGCATGATTGCGAAGTTCTATCACTCAGGAGCCGTGGTAGACGTGAACGAAGCGGCCATCGTGTCTAAGAAGGCCATGGACCTGGCCTCGCACGATCAGCGACTTCTGCCAGTGGCTCAGAACAACTTCTGCCGGGCCTCAATCGAACAACTTCACCTGGGAATATCCATTGAGGTCGGTCTGGACAAGATCCTGACCATGACAAACGAAATGCTCGCGTCGATCCCGCCTGGACATACGAACAGAGCACTTGCGTTGAGTTGCCACGCAATGGTTCGTACCGAAGTTTTCGAGCAGACCGGGTCAGTAGACGACCTGGGACTCATGGTCCAGTCTCTCGAAGACGCTGTCACGGAGTCGAAGTTCCATAACCAGATCACCCAGGCCACACACCTCAGGGATCTGGCTGAAGTGTTGGCCACGAGATTCGAATGGATGGGCAAGCAGAGCGACTTGGACAAAAGCATTGAGAGCGCGAGCAGATCCATGGAGCAGATCCCTGAAACGCATCCGCAATACGCGTTGCATCTCACCACTCGCGGAAGGGCACTCATACAGCGTGCAGTTCATACCAGCTCAGCCCGCGACTTCAACTCTGCCATAGACCTCCTCCAACAGGCGGGACAACGCCTCACAGAGAAACATCCCAAAAGAAGTGCATGCTTGAACAATCTTGCCACGGCTCTCGGCCTGAGGAGTTTGCTGATAGGGACGACGGACGATCTCAACGCGGCTGTCCAGGCTGCGATGACTGCAACAAAGGCCTTTCCTGGCGACTTCCCCGGCAAAGCTGTCTGCTTGACCAATCTGGGACAGATCCTCACGCAGCGATTCTCGAGAGCAGGATTGGACGACGACATTGATATTGCGGTCGAGTGCCAATCGAAAGCGCTAAAGCTGACGGCTAAGAGTCACTGGCGCTACATCACCATTTTGGAGAATCTCTCCTCTGCGCTGCTGATGCGATTCCAAAAGCGCCACCACGCGGAAGACGCGAAGAGCCGCACTGAAGACTCGAGAGGAGGCCCCATGGAAGATTTGAAGGAGGCGGTTAAGCACTCCAGACAGACCCTGGAACTGTCCCCAGAGACGAGTCCGGAGCGGGCGCGATATCTGGCAAATGCAAGCAGAGCGCTACTGGCATTGGCAAAGTCCGATCATTCCTCGAGCGTCGAAGATCCGTCCGCCGCCAATGGTAACTTGGACGAAGCTATCACGTACAGCAAGGAAGCAGCACGGCTGTCGGTTGGTGATGAGAGCCAATCCAGACCAGAAATACTGCTCAGCTACGCGTCGTGTTTGGCAACGCGGTTCAAGCAGAGCAAGAAACTATCGGACAGGCAAACTGCAGTAGACGTCCTTGGAGAGGTTCTAGACTCTCCAAGGTTCCCTATCGGCCGCCGAGTCATCGCAGCAGTCTCAGCAGCCGATATCCTCTACCTAGACGATGTCAAGACAGCGAGCCGCATGCTCTCTCAAGCTGTAGAGCTCTTGCCAAGGGTCATATCCCGAAGCCTCCTTCGAAGTGATCAGCAGTTCATTCTTTCTCAAATTCCTGGACTTGCAGCAGACGCTGCAGCTCTCGAGATGCGTGTGAACAAGAGGGCTGATGAGGCCGTCCGCTTGTTGGAACTCGGACGCGGCGTCATTGCCGGTCTCTACATCAACGAGCGTTCGGAGACCGCAGATGTGGAAGAGGCCCATCCGGAGCTCGCCAAAAGGTTCAGGGACGTCCAAGAACGTCTCGACAGATCAGAGGAAGACGTCCTGCTGCCTGATGTCAGATCCTTTCTCCAATCCCAGGCCGCCAGGAGATATGACGCAGTCCAAGAGTTTGACCGCATAGCGGCGGAGATTCGAGAACAGCCAGGCTTCGACCGGTTCCTACTTGGCCCCGCCCCAGACGAGCTCACGGCTTTGGCGGTAGAAGGGCCCATTGTCTACTTCAACGTCTCACGCTACGGTAGTACCGCCCTCGTCATAACAGAAGAGAAAATCCACGATCTTCCCCTTGAACGGCTGCGGTACGACGACGTCGTGGCGAAGGCAGAAAAGCTCAGCGATATCAGAGACAACGACAGTCTTGTCACACGACGAGTCAACAACGTGGCTTTAGGCAAGATTCTGCAGTGGCTGTGGGATAATGCTATAGAGGAAATTCTCCACTTCTTGAACTTTACTAAGGTGCCGGAATTCGAGGAGAAGTGGCCGAGGATATGGTGGATTCCCGTGGGACTGCTTAGTCTGTTCCCGATTCATGCTGCGGGACGTCAGAAATTGGGTCTGGCCGCACTGGACCGTGTCATATCGAGCTATGCAACGACAGCCAGATCGCTTGCCCTCTCGCGAGAGAGAATCTTGGCTCTTGACAAACAGAAGTCCAACGGGGGCGAGGCTCCTCAGCCTCTAGAAGCATGCCTGGTGAGCATGAAAACGACTCCTCAGCGAACGGATCTCATCCACGCGGAAGCCGAGATCCAAGCCATCGCCGAGCTACTCCCCATCCCAAAGACAGTCTTGGCCCAGCCGACAAAGGAGCAGGTCCTGGAGTCCCTTCGGCGCTGCTCGATCGTCCACTTTGCGTGCCACGGCGAGATGCACGCGAACCCGTCCCTGAGCCGCATCCTCTTCAGCGACTGGGAGGACCACCGCTTCTCCGTGCACGACATGGCCGGGACGAACCTCGTCCGACAGGCAAGGCTAGCCTATCTTTCTGCCTGCCACGCCGGCACCAGCAGAGACATGTTTCTGCTCGACGAGGCCATGCACATGACTGGCGCGTGCCAGCTGGCTGGGTTCCCTGCCGTCGTCGGTACGCTCTGGAAGGTGTTGGACGAATACGCACCGGCCGTCGCCCGTGACGTCTATGCGAGGATATTAGACCAGGGCGGCTCGTTGGACGTTCGTCGAACGGCGCAGGCCTTGCATTTTGCCGTGCGTGGCGTCCGGTCGCTTTCGGAGAGAGGGCCAAGAGCCAAGCCCAATCCGATTGCTTGGGCTCCGTATATCTATGTCGGTGTATGACACTCCACATAGGGGGAGGAGGATTTCATGTCCCCTGACCAAAATGGACGCAGCATAGAGGCTTGATTATGATTACCCATTCCCCTGCCTACGTGAAATCTGCGCCCGGTCTACATCCAGAGACATCCAGCAGCATCGTACTAACATATAATAGCGCCTGTATCAATATTCCGGGGTCTTGAGAGCTTCTTATATAGCTTTCTTGAGTCCTAGACGAATCTACTCAGAAGCATACAAGACAAAGAGAAATGTTTCTGTTCTGTAGGTCTCACCCTCCTTATAACCTGTCCTCCTGTGCCCATGTTTCCGCAAGCCACGCTGTTAATGTCGCTTCAGTGATCTGATCTCATGTGGAGATTGGTCTCCCGCTGTTTGTCACATCTCCTGCATCTTCCACATTGTTTTTGAGGTTGATTGAAGACACAATCCAACCGCGTCAATAGGCCACCGAAGACCGTCGAGAACACTTGGGACGGGACAGCATTTCCGTCGACCAACGTACAAGGGCTATCTCCGAAAGATTGAGTTTTCACGCTATGTTTCAGATTCCATCTTCCGTGGCGATGATGGGGTCTCGCATTAGTGAGATCTAAACACCCATGGGTTATAGTGCGGCCCACTGGCTTACGGGGCTTGTGAAGCCGCCTCGAATATTCAGCAACGAAACTACAACCTTAATTGCTTCGCCGCGCATAGCTTTCTACAATTTTACGATAACTCTATGTTTGATTAAAGGTAAAAAGCCATCGCGGTTGACTTCGTAATAGTCTTAGTGATATATAGCTGCGGGCCAGGAGTAGGACCTTAAATTATCAGCAGATTATAGATTTGGGGGAGGGCTAATCGTACGGGCGCTAGTACCTGTACACCCCCTTTTTAGTAGTTGTACACCCCCCTTTCTAGTAGTTGTACACCCCCTAAACCCCTGTCGTTTCACCGCCCTCTAATTGGCTCGGAGCACTGCGCCGGAGCTCCGGTTATTCACCTATACATCACGTGAGGCTATACGAATTGGCGTGCAGCCTTTCCGATTCGTGCAGCCTCGCCGATTTGTATAGCCTCACGTACGAGCTCATGTACGGCTATACGAATCGGCGTGAAATAGGCTGGCAGCATTCTGCTCTTCTGTAGCCTCACCGATTCGTGTAGCCTCACGTACGAGCTCACGTAGTATAAGTATAAGTCTAAGTCTAAGTATAGAATAGAAATTCTATTCTAGAAGTGCCTACGTGTCTACAAGTATGCCAAACCTGTCAAAACCTCACCTTATTACGGCTCCTTTGCATTGAGCCTAGCCCCCTCGCATCACCGCCTCCGCCTGCTCAATATCTCGGTCAATTTCCGCCTCAATATCTTCATCATACGTCGCAAGCTGACGTAGAAGCTCCTCTCGGCTAAGCCTCTGTGCTTAAGGATGAGGATGAGGCTGAGGCTGAGGCATAGGCTGAGGCGTAGGCTGAGTACTATCTTTCCTCTGAAGTGCCTTTTTCCGTGGTACCTTATCCTTTGCACCAGGCGGCCGGCCGCGCTTCTTAGCTGCAGGTGCAGCCGTAGGTGTAGCTGTAGGCCGCTGCTGTATGCGCTGCTGTATGCGCTGCTGTAGGTACTGCCGTAGGTGCTGCCGTAGGTACTGCCGTAGGTGCTGCCGTAGGTGCTGCTGTAGATGCAGCTGTAGGCCTAAGAAGGGCTGGATCAATACGAGAAAGATCAACCGGTGTAGCTGTCGACTGATAGGCATTCCGAGCGACAGGAGCTGGACGAGGGACTACAGAAATAGGCGGTGCTGGCGGCGGAGCTGTCGGCATGCGTCTTGGAGGTATGTATGCTCGTATGTCTACTCTGTCTGGTTTACTACGGTATTTTGCTAGGCCGTAGCCCTGCGCTGATGCGTGCGCTTGTAGAGCAATATGCGCTTCCTCTGCTGTAGGGTAGTACGCCAGCCGTGGCGGCTGGAGGGCCATGGTGAGTGAACTGTTAAGGTGGAGGAGGAGGATGAGGATGAGGACGCAATTGCTTGTGTACACGCCGCATTTGGAGAGAGCATTTGGAATTAGTGAGCGAGTTAAGCGAGCGAATCGGAGGCTATGGAGTAGCCCTCTAAGCCAATTACAAGGCGGTGAAGCAACAGGGTGTGCGTGGAGTGAAAAGGGGGTGTGCGCGGAGTGATTAGGGGGTGTGCGTTTATCCCTCCCCGAGTAAAATACCTAAACAAAAGATTTATTGCAGTATAGGGGGTTTTGCGCCACCTAGGGGGGGACATTACGGCGTTATCGCATAATTTGTAGGGTGCCTCTTCTTAGGAGCATCGTAAGGCGCATCTAATACAGCTCCACCATCGACTTCCCGTTAATCGTAGTAGCCATAGGTTAGTAGTATTATGCGTATAGACCTCACTAGTACGTTGATAAGATAATATCAGCCCTATGGCTGCCGTCCGAGGCTGATTCATGCAGCGTGGCGACGCCGACCGGTACTTTCCGATCGAAGAGATGACGATCCTGGCTAGCGCCGAACGCCGTTTTAGTTTTAGACGTAATAAAACTTTTCTGTCAGCAGGCCAAGCCAATCCTGTGGCTGAATAGGCAACAGTGTGAGAACGCCCGCATGACAAGTTAGCGCCCGTATCTTCAACGAGCGTGCCATGATTTTTACCGTTGTTGCTCAGCAACATCTTTCTAAATCTATATAGATCTACGTAACTCAACATGTGCGACATCTAGATTACAACGTATGCCAATTGTCGCCGGATCCCTCAACATCAAGTACGGGGTGACTATCTTCGATGTGCAGCAGCACGAGCTCGTCCGAACCAACAACTTTGTATGCCTCCAAGTGGACAGCTAAGGGACTTACCATTGTCCCTTGATCCTCAAGATACGAACGTGGGCGGAGAGTGTCCTACGTGCAATGCACGATCGCCATCCAATTCTTCAGATTAAGATCGGTCGGTGCCCCATTTGATCCTCTCGCAGCGCACGCGAGCAAATTTACACGCAGCACCATTAAGCTTTTCGAATTCACTAACACATCGCTTAGTTTGAACTTCTGCGGGGGGTATGGCTACATACAATTCGTCTTTCTTTTCTACTTTGAAGACTTCGTATGCCATCTTGCTGTTGTCGATGGTTGGGTGCGATTTACAATGGATATCTAGAACGATATGCATCTTGGAAGATTCGTTAGGGGCCATCAAGTGAGAGTAGAAGTCGTTCTTCGGAGGTTCAGGGCCGTATAGCGCGAAAAATCGTTCATTTATAGCTGCTTCCTCCAGCTCGTGCTGAACGTGAAAACGAAGAACAACTCGCTTCGGGTCATTATTGGATTCCATCTTAACGGTGTGGCTTTGAGGCTTTGCAGCATTGCCAACTCCAGCACAAGATTCGTGTGTAGCTAGTTGTAGACGCAATGTAGATCCGGTAGCGCGCTGTGCAAAGGACGGTGGTAGGTTCGACGGTGGTAGGTTCGACGATGGTGCAGAAGGCGTCAACGTGTTGACGAATGATCAATTCGGATTTTAAACATCTACGATCAGGAGTCAGAGGTCGGCTGGCCGTTGGAGACGCTCTTCTGTGTACATTGACGGCGGTGGCCGGCGTCGGTTTGCGATAGCTGCAAAGAGTCAGCGAAATTGCTGCAAGAGTCAAACGATACTTCACCTTTGGAGGATGACCTACATCGTTACTGGATGAGACTCCGGAGTACCTGATGTTGGTTGTGAAATTGGTCCCTGCAGCGATGTTCTGACCGCCCGCATCCAGCCGCGGCGACACGGTGGCTGGGCCAACCCAAAACGCGGCTTGGCACTCATGATCGACCAGTCCGCGTCGCCGCCACGTCTTTGTCGCAATCTAGTTAATACAATTCAATACCAACAAGGGCCTCTCGCCAGACTGTGCCAAGGATTACGTTGCATCACAAGGCTTTGAACCCGCCCTTTGATCTACCCGGAGAAACTCTCGGAATCTACATTGTTAGGCTGAAATGGCTTTCTAGGCTTGAAACGATATTCTTCTATAATAGTGCCTTCTTCCTAGTATTCCGGTCATAGGAGACACCCTCTAATCGCGATTTAGCAGGGGTGGTTAAGCGAAGGAGCGAATGACGGCGTGAATAAAAATGTGAGGTGACCGGAGCACCTACAGTATATAGCCACCGGACAGGATGCAGATACATCCTCTCCGAATCATGCAGCCACCTGCACAGGCGTATGGCCTGCGAGACCTCTGCGAGTTACGTGCTCGCTTAGGCCGGGGTATACATAGCCCCAGGCCATGCATCACGATTCCTCAAGGATTCGTCTCTCAATACACGAAATCGTCAATTCCGTCTACGAGCTTCCTGCCGTGCACTCTTCCTTTACACTTAGCCACCGTTGAGGCTCTGCAAGCACCGTGCTACGGAGGCCGAGCCGTAGGAGCACCCACCAGGGCGCAGCCCATTACATATGGCAGTATCCAACCCTCTAGCTTTACGAACACGCCTATACGTCATCCTCAGCCCTATGGCGGCGATACGAGGATAATTCATGCAACGTCGCCACCCCTGTCAGTACCTTGCAGTTAAGCGATGCAAGTCTGGTCATTCCAAAACGCCATCAGCACGTCTCACGTAATAATTACTTGTAATCTAAGCCACATTGGCCATTAAGCCAAGCCTGTGGCTGGAAGCTATCCTAAAATAGATGGTGAGAAGCCATGTGATCATGATCGTCCGAAGTCCCCCGTTGAAAAGTCATGGAGCCCCACCCTGGAAGTTAGGCCGGAGCAGGCTACCGTTCCCCACCGCCAAACAAGACACGCTAGCGAACAGAGCATGACTACCTCAATCTCCAGCCCTTCTATTCCCTCTAAATTCGATGATGAGGTTGACGATGCTGATCCTGACCTCCCTCCCGACCACGTATGGGCTTATCCATGTAAGCTGCCTTCGTGTCCCGACTACGGCAAGTCCTGGGGCCTTCGAAGCAACTTCTTCCATCTGCAGGAGCAAGATTCACACAAAACAACAGCAATGACACTAGCCGCACGCCGTACAATTGAGAAAGAGTGGCGGTATACGACCGATCCTAACCTACCGCCTCGGGCAGCCCCAGATTTCCGTTCCCGAGAGGATCCAGACGAGCACGTGTGGGACTACAATTTCAGAGATGACACTGGGAAGGTGGTTACAGGCAGGGGCACGATGAAGCAAATGGAGATGCATAGGGCGTCACGACGCCGAGAAACGCAGGGAAGGCAGACAGCGTAGCCGCGGTCTTGCTGATGCGGTTGCGATAAGCCTTCGCTTTGTGTAGTAGCAAAATGACGCGTTATAACGCGACACGAGAATCGTAAAGGCATTTGCTTGATGGAAATAAGTGATCTAATGTTACTCTGAGAGGCTCTTGGTTGATGATGTATTCATAATCAATGTCATGATCCGCAGTGCGCTTCGCTGCTCTCTCCTCTTGCTTAGCGTACCTAGCGTCATCGCTTGACTGGATCTCTTCAGGAGGTGTTTCCGACCGTTTCCGCTTGTTAACGTTGTCAGCCAAGGATTCTTTGCGCAGTGCTCGCCGTACTTTGCTCTCTGCCGCATCAACATATCGGCAGAGCTGTATCCCAGATATGCAAATTTCTGCATCCTCATCTCCCAGTTCCTCCTCCGCAAGTTCTTTGCAGGTAAAATCGCTCAGGCGGAGCCGTAGGCCAGGGTGTTCAACAGGGTGTCCTTCATCGTCACGGAAAGCCTAGTACAAAAGTCAGACCATTAAGGACAGATCATAGTCATGAAGATGTAATTAGCCTACCTCATCAACGGCCTCTTCCACAGCTCGTAATTCATACCCACTCGCAGTCCTGAACAACTGGGGTCGCCAAATCGATAACGTTGCTTTGCGTGAGTCCTTGCCGTACTCAATGTCTAGGCCAACAACAACCCGTACGCTGGCGTCTGAATCTAGTAGATAGTTCTCGGCTAACCGGCGTAGGCGCGTTTTCTTCTGTGAGTACGCGACTTCAAGAATGACGCCCGGATATTGCGCATCGTCATGCCCGAATGACGCGTCTGGCTCGTACTTCGATTTGCTCGATGAAGCACTAGCAGCGAAACGTATTTCAGTCGATCGTGCTGGTTGCACTTTCTGCGCGAATCGAGCCTTCCTGTCTGATCCGCTACGTATTGCTTTCAGTTGGCTCCGAATGTCATCCTCCACTGCGTCGATGAAGCGTTCGTGTATTTCAGTGGGCATGCAAACAACTAATGTGCACTTGTCTCCGTCGTAGTCATACCTGCCAAAGTCCTCTGTCAGTTGGGGTTCGCGGTCTCTGAGGTCCACTAACCGTATCTTGTCTTCCACGTATCCCGAAAGCACATCGTCTTGCTGGAGCGTCATCTCTATCTGGTCGTACTCTCCTTGTGCAAGCTCAAATTCTTTCCACGGCTCTCGCCCAGTGTCCCTTCCCGCTTGGATTTGTCTAAACTGCGCGATAACGCGAGGCGCCTCCGTGAATGGCTTCTTGTCGGTCAGCGGAGGCGTCAGAGGCTGGTTCGTAGACCTTGAGGGTGGCGTGACGTGTCGATGCTGCGTTATATCCGCCTGCGATGTTGCCATAGCTGTATGCTATGCTGCATCATGAAGTTGTTCGATAGCCGTCGCTCTCGCGCAAACTGACGGATCGTCCGAGCGCTGGGCTCTTCGGTTGACTCAGCAGCAGCGCCACGTAATCAGAGAGCCAATGACATGACTGTGGCTAAGGCGGTGAGCCACGGCTATTGGACTTCGGGCTAGAAATCGCTTTTGCACGACTGCAACTCTCCGTTTTCGCATCGATTGCATTCCGGTGATGCAGGCTCATCGGTAAGCTCAATGACGCATCGTCGTCACATACTCGGAACGATGTGAGCTGTACCTCGCCCTAGCATTCCAGCATTATGACTAGCTGCCAACTCCAAAGCTACGGACGGCCCAGGGGACGGCGCCTGCAACGATAGACTTGTGCTTGGCTGCTGGCGCGAGCGCCGCCTTTCATTCGCTCTGAATCACAAACGGCCCCGCACTCCGCGCTTGTGGTGGCACAGTGATGAGGCAGCGACACTTATCTTGTGCTGTCCCGCCGGCTGTCCTGTAGACCAACCTTTACTGATCCTGGAGAATCCATGATTTCACCATTTGTTATCGTCAAATCTTAACACACTGACCCTTAAGGACTAGCTCAAGATGTACTATGACGATGAGTGAGAAACATGCGGTCGCGAGTTTGGCAGCCAGCTAGCTGCTATCCAGCATATGAATGCACTTAACCATTGGGGCCTACGATACGAATGCGACACTTGCGATGGCGAGTTTCGCAGCCAGCTAGCTGCTATCCAGCATATGAATGCACTTAACCACTGGGCCCCACGATACGAATGCGACACATGCGATCGAGAGTTCTTTACCCAAAGCTCGGCAGATCAGCACATGGACGACACGGGGCACCGGGAGCCTCAGTTCGAGTGCGAGACCTGTAGTAAGAGATTTCATACCCAATTGTCCGCCAATCAGCACATGGACGCTGTAAATCACCACAAGCGACACCACTGCCACGATTGTGGCAAAGCATTTCAGAGTGAGAATGCCTTGAACATGGTATGTTCTTCATGCACACCTTAGTGCTTACTTGTACCTTCTTTCTCAAGTCCAGAGATGTTACTGACTATCGTAAGCACCTCAACTCGAGCACTCACCGCGGCAAGAACGTTGCGTGCCCCTTCTGTCAAGCAGCTTTTACCACGGCCAGCGGTGTTTCGCACCACCTTGAGACTGGCTCATGCCCGCGAGCCAAGAACATCAATCACCGCACAATTTTTCAGGCTATCAGTCAGCGCGACCCCAGCGGCTTATTGACGAATAAGCTGCTTACCTACCCCGACTCCGACATACAGAACATTGCAACAAATGCGACTTGGAACGGCTCCAGCTACGAGTGCTACCTCTGTCACCGAGAGCATCACACTCTTCAAGCACTAAACCAACATCTGAATTCATTGGTCCACAGCGAAAAGCTATATCGTTGCCCGAACCGCAGCTGCAACGGCCAATTCGTAAGTTTAGCGGCGCTTTTCAATCACCTCGAAAGTGAGAGCTGCAAGTTTGTGCGATTCGAGAAGGTTCAAAAGCATGTCCATAATCTCATCACGGGACGACAGAAGCTGCTCAGCTTTGCGTAAGCGCACTGTAGCATCTCTAAGAAGAATTTACGTAGGGATTATCATTAGATCCGTACGTCGGAAGGCATTGCTTCGCCAGCAACATCTAATTAGCAATCCAATATCACAGCTCTTCTTCTCTGCTACCACGTTTGCGCCACTGCGGCTCTCCAAGGTTCTAGTGCCGTCTCATCCTCCGCATGTGCCACTGTGGATAGCGGTGGCTCTGGCCCTTTGCTGGTTCGCGCTGCCTTGATCTTTGGCTCTGGAGCACCTACTTCTTGCTCACCTTCCGCAACCTGTGTTTCGCTTCTTCGCACCACCTTGGCCGTTGGCTCTGCCACATCTACCCCCGACGCAGCGCTCTTCCGCTTTCGACCGCGTGTTTTCTTACCCGTGGCAGCTTCCTCTGCCTCTAGTGCAGCACTCGCGACATTCTTAGCCTCTTTGGCAGCCTTCTTAGCCTCTTTCTCAGCTTTCTTAGCCTCTTTCTTAGCCTTCTTGGCATCTTTCAAAGCGCGCTCCGCTCGTGCCTTTTCGAGGTCCTCATAGGTCATCACCTTTGCTATCCTTAGTACTCCTTGGTCGGCTGCTCGGCGAGCTTTGCCTTCGTTGTTACTTTTGGCTAAGAATTGATTTCGGTCATAAAGGAGTGCAATTTTGGCAAGATATGTCTGGGCGGCATTCGTCACCTTCTGATGGAGCCTAGCCTTATGCTGGCTGCTCGCTTCGTCATCAGGGACCCGTTTGATCATATCAAGTAGCGATGTCAGAGCCTCTCCTGATCTTGGCGTTGCAGGCGTAGGCAGTGCTTCATACTCCGCACGAGACTCCACCCTCAGCTCATCAACGTTCGGAATAGTGGGTTCGGCGGAAGGTTTTGGTAATTTTGAGAGGACCCTATCAAGGTTGAATGGAAACAAACCACTTCCTCTCCATGCTCCGAGAATGTTCCTCTTAGTGAACGACCTTTCCTTTGCAGGGCTATACACTCGGGGTGCAGCAACCTAGGATCAGCAACTCATACGGTTCACTGTGGTGCTTCCTTGCTGTCAAAGGAAGGGAGTGGCTTTCCTTGGCGCCTAACTCATACGGTTCACTAGGTGTCCCTTACTCTCCCTTTCTCTTCCTTACGAAGTTGTGGTGCTTCCTTGCTGTCAAAGGAAGGGAGTGGCTTTCCTTGGCGCCTTCCTTGCTGCCGAGGCCTTGGCACCAAGGGAGCGCCCTAAGGGATAGTTCATCTCGCTCCTCTATATAGTCCGCCTTTACGGCATCTACAATACGACAGAGTTCACATCAATTTCAACCTGAGTTACACAGTGGTTCTCGCTACGCAGTGGGGGATACTAATGATGATCTATCGTATTGAGCAAAATAGATCTTAGCATCACGTGAAACCGACGTGCGTGCTTCACCATCCTTCTAGTTCATGTCCGTTATCACACGCCCGTTTCGACCTATATAAGTCCCGGTTCTAGTCCCTTAAAACGTCCAGTATTAAAATGGCACCTTCCTTACTCGAGCTAGCATGGCGCTCGTTGAAGAAACATGGTATACCCACATGCAAAAACGTTGACTACGATTACGTGTCCACGCCTTCCATGCAGGAACGACGACGAAGAGAACGGTGAGTATATGGCTTACACTTCTCGTCCCAACAGCTAACCCACCGGCATTTTTGTTTTCATGAAACTACTTAACTAAGAGCCGGGTAATGCCATCCTCTCAATACAATGGAACCGCGGCTTCCGGGAAGGTGGCCATGTCGATAGCCCTGCCTTGCTCCTCTCTTCTAGTCCAAAGCCTACATCTTAGAGTCTCCGGTTGTGCTTGTTGGTAAATTTTTCAGTATATCGATAGCGCTGTCATTGTTGTCCTCTTCTGGTCCAAAGTTGTCACGGGACAAGGTGATGAATTAGAAGATGAGGGTATATGCACGAGATGTTTTGCGCCTGCAATAGGCCTCACAGCTCTTCCCTGACACGAACGCCTTTGGAAGACTTGAGCGTTGAGAAGCTTGTATAAGCTCAGAGCTTAAGCTTACCATCTAGCTTGACGGGCGATAGAGGAGGCGATGCCAAGCAGGTGAGAGTCTCGGCGGTGATAGAAGAGTCTCGCTGGTGATATTAGTTCAAGCTCTAGAGATAGATAGTGATAAACACGAACAACCAACAAAGGTAAAGTAGCATCCATGAACAAGCGAAAGCAACTGAAGTAGTCATGGTGCAGATGCTGCCCTTAGTAGCTTTCCATAGGTGTCAGGCCTTGGACGGCCTTTTCCTTTGTTCTGCAAGCGACATTCACCTGTAGTCACAAGACGTCACGTGGTCACGTGACCGTCAGGCGGGCGCACTAGCAGCTAGCGCCAAACGCGCCAGGAACCTACTTCTGGCGGCTGCACCCTTGCCCCTCTTCTCTCTTTGTATCACAACTTCCATAGCATAGCAATGCAACCCTTTCTAATTGCTGTTTGCCTATCGGGTCCTCACACTTTGTGATACCTCCCACAACGTCCACTGTCCTCGCGAGGACCACATCCAGCAATCCAAGCCACTCAGAAACTCAGTTCACCGTTTCACCTGTTGCGACAGGTCGCCATCGCTATGACGGACCTAAAGAAGGGCGTCAACTCTACAGATCTCCGTCGTGCCTCATCAGGCACATCAAGCAAAGCTATAGAAGCGTCCAGCTCTACAGGACAGTACCCAGGAGCCGCCGGCAAGCAAGCAGCAATGCCGCCCTCAAAGTCTAACCCACCGTTGCTTCCCGACCCTTCTACATTCCCTACTTCCGCTTCCATGCCTTCCGAGAAGCATCAGAACGCCGAAAACAACTAATAAGAGAGGACTCGGGTTGTAACAGCTACAACCTAGGATCAACAACTCATACGGTTCACGGTCACCTACGGACAGCGTGGCGAGGTCCTTTGTTCAGCTACACCAGAGTCCTCTCAGCTGGGTCCGTTCCTTTCAGCTGGCCTCTATTCAGCTGAGCTGATAGACCTAGGGGGTGGGCCATTTCCTATTAGTATATATTCGGCCCGTACGGCCACGACAATACAAGCAGAGTTCACATCAACTTCAACCTGAGTAGAGGGAGGGACCAGGACATGGGTGAATCCGATAATGAAGGATTGTCCGGTGATGTGGAAGCAGAAGGGGATTTCACCAACAACGTTACTATTGTAGCGTTTGAAGATCAAGTACCTTGTAAGTTTCCTGGCATAAGCTCCCGTGCATGGAGCTACAACCTTGATATAAACCTCCGGGAGGAAGCTGTTACCTCTCAATACGACAAAGCAGTTACCCTCTCACGCGAAACCAGGCCTAGGACAGTGTGCAGGAACATCATTAAGGGAGCCAAGATGGTAAACCCGGACCTTGTTCTAAAACCCGGAGCAGAGGAAGAACTTAAGAACAGTTTAGGAGATTTCAATGCAATGATCTCCTTTGCCCAAGCATACCCAGCTGAAACAACCCATCTCTTCAACAGCATCACGCCGTTAGCCTTTGCTTTTGTTAACGACCTGTCAGAAGTAAAGTTCTTCAAAAAAGCACCTTATCTACTTCCACCACCTCAACACCAACTTTGGCCGCCTCTGGCGCCAGTGGGCCAGTATCTGCGCTATGGTCCAAGTACTAGAGGAAGAAGCAAAGGAACAGAAGGTTGAATACAAGTCCTTGCAAAAGGAGTATGACAACGTAGTGGCCATTTTCCGAAAATATAAGGGCGGACAAGTCCAGCAAACAAAGGAAAAGGCCGTCCAAGGCCTGACAATAGGTGACAGAAGGTTGCGTGAAGCCTCAGGAACTTGTGAGCATAAACGACGAGAAGGTTAAGTTCGAAGAGACAATCTGAAACTCTGGCCCGAACAGAGGTCGCATCTGGCGCTGCCTAGGAAGCCCGGTGATACGAAAAGAAAAGGGCGGGTGATGATTTAGCTCGTCCTTCGGAAAAGTGGCTAAGGACAGCGTTTGAAATGACTGAGACGGACGATGGACTGTTATAACCTAGACCCCGATATGACGAACGCTGACGACGAGAACGCTTCCGATAAGCGATTGAAGACAGGCCTTGAAGTTACTGAGAAGGACCTAGATGCTTTCATGGCAACTCTAGGCCCGGCTATGACTAGTGCTCGCATCGAGGTACTCAAACTCAACCGCCAAATCCGAGCAGAGGCCGACCCCCGAGCCACGGAAGAGTGAAGACAGGTCTTGAAGTCACCGAGAAGGGACCTAGATGCTTTCATGGCAACTCTAGGCCCGGCTACGACTAGTGCTCGCATCGAGGTACTCAAACTTAACCGCCAAATCCGAGCAGAGGCCGACCCCCGAGCCACAGAAGAGGAAAGCTACCGAAACCAGAAGTCTTTGGTCAAGCGGCCGAGCACAGCATCACCGCACCGCCTAGACTGCGCCAGATCTTAATTGCTGGTGGAAACTCGAGGATTTTATAAGATAGATTGAATTGAACATAAGTTTATATTGAACTAAATGAGTGAGTTTATATATTTGAGAATCAGGAAAGTAACGGGACTACATTAGAGGTACTCCGTACGCTGAGATCGTAGCTCGCAGGCCCCTAGTTGTAAAGCCGTGTCCCGCGAGCCCTCCAAAGGTGTGTTCGGATAATAGTGGAGTAATCAGCGGCTGGCTCTAAATGGCTAAGGCCTATAAAAGTGTATGAAGTAATGGAAAGAATAGAACTTTTCGAGTATATTTAATAGAGCAGTTTTATTTACATAAGTTGCAAAGAAACTAAAGTTCTACCTCCTTTATGGATGTCATTCTAGCATAGCTACGCACGACTGCACAAAACACAGTGCTTAATAAGTGTACCAACATTTTGAAGCACACTAATCTTGAATGCGTTAAAAATAATTGTAAACTTAGGTTGAAATTGATGTGAACTCTGTTGTCTTGTACATGCCGTAAAGGCGGACTATATAGAGGAACGAGATGAACTACCCCTTAGGGCGCTCCCTTGGTCGTTCCCTTGGCAGCAAGGAAGGCGCTCACTTGACAGTAAGGAAAGGCACTCCCTTCCCTTGACAGCAAGGAAGCACCACAACTCCGTAAGGAAGAGAAAGGAGTAAGGGATACCTAGGGAGGTGGTGTGCACGCAGGTGAACCGTATGAGTTGCTGATCCTAGGCTGCAACCCGAGTTGTAACCATACCGTCTTGACTAGCGTGATAGCTTGCTGAGCCACCTCAAACGGTGGTGGACGTTCAACAGAACTTAGTCCCACTCCTCACCTCCGGCTTAGCGCGGCTTAGCGTCACTAGCGTGGCTTGGCATGTTATAGTTTTTAAACTTTCTCTTGACCCGTGCTCTTTTAGAACGATCCACCTCACTCTTCCCTCTTCATCTCATCCATGTAGAGCCAGACCAAGCCAGAATCTGCAGCCTCTGCAGCCACGGAGAGCACCATCGACGGCAAGACCAAGCAGAAGATGAAGGAAGAGAAGGGTAAAGAGAAGGCGACCACGGAGAGCACCGTGGAGAGCGAGACCGAGCTAGAGCCTGCAGTCTCTGCAGCCACGGAGAGCACCATGGAGGACGTCGAGCGCTTCAGCACGACTACCCCATCTATGCCGACACTCGACTTCTTTCGCGACGGCGACAAAATTCTCAAGCGCTTCTCTCTGATCCCGAAGCTCGAAGGCCGTGGTGGTATGATCGTCCTCGTTCATTCTTATCTATGGGCTAATCATCGCTAACAAACTGGGATTAGTGGACAGCGCGGGACCACAGCAGCAGAGCTGCACGCCAAAGTTTCAGATGACGCTCCTCAATGGTCTGGCGGAGATACTCTCCTACTACTATCTCCCCGCCAAGAAGTTTGGCCCAAAGGATCGCCACATCCTCTTGACGATCTCAGTCTCCACCATCCGCCAAACCAAGCGCCTCAAGAACTGCGATACAATCTGGGTTAACCCCGCTCACCAGAAGGTTTTCTGCGACGCCGCCATGCCAATCTACTACAAACTCTGTAAGATGGCCTTAGCATGGAGCCGGTCTTCACATCCCTACCCACCCCAGGATATGCTCAAGCAAAAGACGTGGGCACAATATTTCGCACCCAAGGAGCCTCGCTCGCAGTCTATTCCCTATGTACAAACCCTCCCAAAGGGAGCCATTGCCATTCGAGACCAATGGTTGGCGACCCTCGACGTGGTGATGCGGAAGTCAACAGATATCAAGGACGGCGATTCCGAGAGCACCCGTGAATGGAAGGAAAAGCGTCGCAATGAGTACTACGATCATCTCCCAGATTTCAACGGAGGATATGAGGGAACTTCGCTTCAAGGAACGAAAGTGAAGGAAGTGGAGTCAATCGATGACGTTGAGAGCAAGGGTAGTAGTAGCGTTGGGTCACTGTATCACCTGAACAAGTTGGCCAACAAGTACAACCCGGGCCTCGAAGACTTGAACATGGGACCAGAAGAGGGATATGAAGACAGGGCCATTGACATGGTCATCTGGCCGAAAGCGGCGGTCTCCGGTGATGACGATCTGGGTGGATTCAAGATGGGTGAAGCTGAGTAAGTGCATATCAAACACTCAGTAGCGAGCGTTTGCCAAAGCAGACTGGAATTCAGGGAGCCTCCGGAGGGAAGCAAGGATTAATTTCTTACCTCCAATAATGAAGAGTTTTGAGGTCTCTCATGTCTTTGCTTTGCCGTGACCTTAGATATTTGGCACTTTAGCATGATGACTGATGGAACGCCTGTGAATCTGCCTAGGGACTCGAATACTCTGATTACCCGTAGGCAATGGTATGGATATGAGCCGCACCTGGGGGGGAGCAGAAACGGAAACAGTTCGGTGTTGAAGTTTAAGGAAGCGTGAATTAGGAGATTGTCGCTTTTGCATAGCACTAGGTCATGAGTCTCGACATACTTGATATACCCCTACACGGGTTGCAGTCTTGATCGCTCGATACCACCGTGAGGAGTAGCCCCACTAGCAGGTGTTCAGCCCGTCAAGAGGTAGCCTGCGGTCCACTGCATCGACATTTAGATCGTATTTTGAATTTGAAAAGCTATAAGTGCACCTCAGGTAGTGGAAAGAAAGAGTGCCCAAACTCAAGTCGCAAGAGTGTAAGTAGAACATTGATATAGACGACGAAAATGAAAAGTTTTGCGAGGAAATGACGGGATGCTAGATACCCCTGGGGGTAGCAGAGACGGAGAGAGCTGGATGTCAAAGTTTGGAAGATGTGAATTGGGTGATGTACGTAGGAGCATTCTAACTGGCTGCCACCCTCACACTGCCTTTACAGCCATCTGCTGTATATTGACCGAGTTCGGCATCGAAAACCTGCAATGACATGTTAGAACCTGACAAGACACTCTTAGACAAAGGAGCCAGTCACCTTTCCGTGTCCCAGTGTAAGTTGCGTGAATCCCTCTGGACATTGAGGGGGCGCTTGACAATCCGTCCAAAGGTGGCAAGCGCTATGTTATTCGCTTTCTGCATCGTAGCAAGCTTCTTCTTTGCAAAACCGAGGTTAGAATCGACATTGTCGCCAATGTCACGAAGCTGTTGGAGTTGGGTGCTGGTGAGCGATTTCAATGTGGAAGAATCGTCGAGATCCAATGCCCAGACCATTGTTCTGCCAAGGCAATGCTTGTTTGCAAAGTCTTTCTTCAACTGAAGCGTCTCTTCGTCGTCATATAAGACCCTATGTTATCAGTAGGTGTTTGTGACAGGGCGGGTGAAAGTGAAACTTATCATTGATTGTTGTTCCAGACAATGTACTTCACCCCAGCTTGCGTGTCGAGAATCGGCTTTAGCGATTTTGCTGTGATGATTCGCTGGATCTCGGCATTGGATAAACTCTTATATGCCGACAGCGCCGTGTTGATATCCCTCTCTATTAGCTCCAACTCAATAGACAGTAGCATATCCTCAATGTTCGCCCCTCGACGCGACCTGTCCGCGTCAAGCATAGACGGCCTAACGGCAAGCGATAGGAGTTTTTGGACACCAGGTCGCAAGTCGCACGGTGGTGCAACCGTTCACCGGCCTCGGTGGCGGAGCCAGTGACAGTCGGGTGCCCTCCCGCACCGCCGGCGCCAGGGACAAAGTCTCGTGCGATGAGCGCGTGGTAGGCAGATTGCCCGCCGAGCAGCGGCGCGGGCCATAGAAGCGCATCAATCGCCCGACAGTCCACTTGGACAAAGACTCAGGTTGGAATTGATGTGAACTCTGTTGTATTGTAGATGCCGTAAAGGCGGACTATATAGAGGAACGAGATGAACTATCCCTTAGGGCGCTCCCTTGGTCCTTCCTTTGACAGCAAGGAAGCACCGAGTAAGGGATACCCAGTGAACCGCATGAGTTGCTGATCTTAGGTTGCTGCAACCCGAGTGAGATACTGCAAAAGATCTTTTTCTTGAGTAGTCATGGACTCAGGTTATAATTGACGGGAACTCTGCTTGTATTGTCGTGGCCGTACGGGCCGAATATATACTAATAGGAAATGGCCCACCCCCTAGGTCTATCAGCTCAGCTGAATAGAGGCCAGCTGAAAGGAACGGACCCAGCTGAGAGGACTCTGGTGTAGCTGAACAAAGGACCTCGCCACGCTGTCCGTAGGTGACCGTGAACCGTATGAGTTGTTGATCCTAGGTTGTAGCTGTTACAACCCGAGTCATGGGGTCGCCCTCCTGGGTAGACGTAAACTTCTGAGTTGGACGAAGGAGAGTTGCTGTATGAAACTTCTTTTGGTGCGACTATATTGTTAGTAATTGAAGCCTATAGGGAAATGGAATCCATACCTAGAGATTTGGCAGCTGGGTATATTGCCTATCGCAGTTATCAAATCTGCACGTGTATGGTTTGATCTGTAGGTGCACGATCTTGTGTGACTGAACGTTGCTACGTTGTGCAAAAGTCTTACCGCAAATGTCGCAATCATACGGTCGTTCCCCAGTATGTATTCGCTCATGAGTCTATAAAGCATTAGTGAAGAACATAGTTATCAGGTAGACTGACCTTGAGGTTCCCCAGTTGAGAACATCGATGGCCGCAAGAAGGCTCCTTGCACAGCTAAATGTCATTATTAGTCACCTTTTTCTTTTGGCATAGACATGGCAAGACTCACAAATGGTTTGACTCCATTGTGACCACGAGTATGGATTTCGAGGTGGGACTTTCGGGAAAAGATCTTGTAGCAGTCTGACATACTGCACTGGTATATTCCTTTCGACCTTTGCCTCGGTTTTTGTTTCTCGATGTCACTGCTGGGCTTTGCAAGCTGGTGAGCAACTGGCGATGCAACGAGCGGTTGGTTCGGGGGCAGTACCTTGCTGGGATCCCGCTGTCGTTGGGCTGGTTTTGGCTTGGCCTGGATGACCTTTATTAGGACGTCATTGTCGACTGGGAAATTGACACTGCTGCAGTTGTCGGCGGAACTGGCATCGTTGAGGCCTAGGTGTGTCGGGGAGGTCGCCTCGGGCTTGACTGGTGGAGTCCTGGTACCGGAGTATGCAACAGTGTGGACCATTGGGTAGTCCATCATGTTGTATGGGTTCACCGAGGGGTTAAACGTAAATCCTCCAGGCTGGTAGGGTACAGAAGTGGTGTGGCTCAGAGGCATAGTCTGGGTCGGCCGAATAGCTTTCGAGGATGGGGTGTTCGTCACTGTCCTCCTGGAAGTGTCGTAGGAAGGCAACATGCTCGTGGTCGTGGTGGTTATATGGACAGATTGGTCGGGTCGTCGCTAGATTCTAGCGTGAGACGCAAGGGCGGTGGTTCAATATGTAGACATGGCAGACTATATGTCGGCCGGCGGGATCCCGCAGCAGATCGAGCACACCCAGAACATGCCAACAATCAGCGTACACCGGATGGGGCCGAATACAGAGTCAAGGAAGAACCCAGTAAAAGCGAGATGATGCGCGCGCCGACAAGAGCCACACCGCTGGGATTTCTTATCCAGCGATGATGATCCATTGGCATACTACTTTTGGTTCGTTCACGCATGGCCGAGGGCGTTCCTCTCTCTCAGGTCGGGCCCTCGATCCAACTACCCAGCCCGTGCCGTGTTGCCCCTATGTCTCGATGGCGTATTGGTCCGTGATCTCGCCCTAACCGACCAAATCCTGAAAAGCCTTTTTCTCCTAGTCCGCGTGTGGATGGCGAAAGGCCCAGAATTGAAGCTATATATACCAGAAACATGGCAAGTCATGACGCTTCCTATTATATACTCGTGTCCGCTACTCAGATCACGATTTCGAAAGTTGAGACCCAGTCCTTTATAAGCCATGGCTTCACCATCGGACCAAAGTAAGCGAACTTAAATAGAAGCTGATCGTCTTCGTTTGCTAATACAATAGGCCAAACGAGAACAAAAACACTCCAAGTTCCGCCAGAGCTACGCAAACGGAAGAGCGAAGAGGATATTAGTCCACACGACCGAGCACAAGAAAAGGCAACTGAGAAGAGTATTCTCAATGAGATTCTGACGATGCGGACTCCAAATAGAACCGGAAATCTCGTGAAGAGGGCCCCAAAAATGAGGAAAAGGCGGTTGAACGGAGAGCACTACTGCTGTTCGTGTGATGGCATGCACAATGCATGGGACTATGGTTTATATTCAGTTTGCTGTATATGCGAGCATGTTCGCTGCCCAGTCTGTATCTAGGGGACTTGAGCTGGATTTACAGAGTGGATACGATCACATTCATCCGGAATATGGAATGTGCCGTTGGTATAATCTTTTCAGTCGTCTATAAATCTTGATGGAGTTGAAGAATGACGAGTAGGTGTTCGGAATGCGCGTCTAATATGGGAGCCTTATCAACTGCAACATAGAGATCCAGCAGTGGTTCAGCACAATGATAACCAGTGATGACCCTCTGGCCGACCCGCTCATGCACTCAACCAAGTGCCAATCTGGTGGGACGGCAGAGCGGGTAGAGCAATTGGTTGGCCGTGCAAATGTTGTTGGGCTGACTCCATTCCGAAAGAGAGTCGTTGGAGACGGATTGCGCGAGGTTCACGGCGGCCGGTTTGGGGTAGACTCTTCAGTGGGGAGGGCGTGCGATCTAAAGGTCAGCAATTGATGTCGGTGCGGAAAAAGTACGCTCATAGTGGCCACTGCACCGCTTCTACATTTCCTACTTTGAAGTGTTACAAGAGGTGATTTATTCATAGGAATTCCTATCATCATTACCAAAAACATATAGATAAGAAAAATTGAGTATTAAAAAGAGCGTCTACCATACTTGGGCGCTCACCTCCTTGTGATTTTGATCTCGCAGCGCCTTCCAAAAACCATCCCACGGTCATCTCATTCAAGGACAAAAGCCAATTCACCAAGCCCTTTGCTGCTCTTGCAGCCCTCTATATATCTCCGACTTTCGGTATATTGGTCGAGTATACTTCTTCCGCTTCGTTTCCAAAATTGCTTCAAACCAGTCCTGTACTTTTTTAGCAGCTGCCCCAGTCTTTAAAGTCTATGCACCTACCGTTGACATCATAGCGTAAAAAATCTCGTCGTCCCTTTTTTCTGATGGGCATTGCAAAGTAGAGATGTACGCATACGCAGACACGCCTTTCTGGAGATTATCAAGCTCGGGAAATGTTTCATTGACCATGCTGTCAAGTGGCAGACGAGGATGAGCCGGAGGCGTGGAGCTCGAGTCGTGAAGGGAACGCGGCCTAAGCGCACGTTTGAAAGCAATTTCCAATACTTTCAAGGCATAGGAGTCAAGCGAGTTCTTGAGCTTGATGCTATCCTTCGCGTGATAAGCAACAACCTAGATGCGAAAAATTAGTTGTGTAGAGTAAAGTTGCATTTCCACTTACGCTTTCTATTTCCATACGTGTCCCATCTTCTTCAGACCATCCTGTAGCTCGCAGCTCGTCCCAAAAGCTCGTCCAAAAGGTATCCCAATAGTTGTCCTTGGGATCCATGTGAAAATGCGTTTCAGACGCTCGAGCGCAAGCCCGGTAAAGGAGTGTACAGGTGCGCTCGCTTTCGGGAAGGTATTGGAGCTCATTGCTGTGATGGTTTCGTACAGAAGCTTGAGCATTGGTGGAGGGGATGGGAGGACGTTGGATGAAGGAAGAGTCATCCGATGAGAAACACCAATATTGACGAGCGCCGAGAGAGGAGACAAAGTTACCCATACCAACTGCAGGGAAGTGTAAGGCAAAAAGCGGTGAAGAGACACAGGAGGCAATGAAAGCTGCAGCTGCAAGGTAACGAGCAGAAACGTGCATCCTCAGCCTAGCCAGGCGTAACCAGCTCTATATCACCATGTCGGTCCTCTCCGTGCCGCACTTCAGATACCCTGAATATATTGCATCCAAGTCCTGGGTCTCTGTAGACAACCTACCCGTTCTGGCATCCGATAATCACTAAGGGGACGGCGCAAATCTGGTGAAGGCTTGCCAAATCTCTACTGAAGCATGGGCGGTATGATATCCGACAATACCGACCGCACTACCCGCGCCGCTTGCGCGCCACTTGCGCGTCACTTGTCGATATTCGGAACACGAAAGGAGAGGAGGATGAGGTGCGGGAGGTGCGGGGATCCATCGCTGAAGATCTATTGTGGCATTTGATGTGGAGGTGGGTCAGCTCGCCTGCAGGACCCCAAGTCAGAATCTATATTTTCAACGCGCGTTGAAAATCGTCTGTGCGCCAGTCCTCCCAAGACTGGAGCTCAACGGGGCCCTTCTTCTGCACTACACCACATGGACTCCCTCATTCACTATTTAGAAACGTCTTCTCCGGAGGATATCATCAAATCAGATGTAAGATAGCTCTAAATTTGCGGAAACAATCGTCTGACAGAAGTCCAAGGTCTTCTTATCTGCCTTCCGCCACTTCTTCTATCGAGCAAGAGGGGAACAGCGTCGCCAGCTTGTGCAATTGCTGTCTCAAGATCAACCTCAGTCTCCACCTCAGTCCGACCTCAAGATTCATTTTGAGTATCCATCCACGAGTCTACCAACTCCACCAACTCCCTTCAGTCCACCTCACAGTCCACCTCATTCCCAGCCCGCTTCTCCACAGCATGGGACCGAGATCCCAACTCCTACCTCTTCATTGTCACCCGAGGAGTACTTCAAATCCAAAAAGTTTGAAGCTTTATCTCCAAAAAGAGTAAACAGCCTAATTAAGGCCGCAAAGAAACTGAAAGATGCCGACAAAACCTCAATCGCGGACTTCGATAACCTTTGGTCGAGTAGCGAACAAGTTCCCCAACCTCCAAGCGACAGTGTTTTCTCGCGAGTCGACAGTATGTTCAACACTTCTCTGAACATTCAGGAACAACATGCCGTTCTAGACTGTGCCAGTCGCTTCATCAGCCTTTTCATACGACACGAGGTGGATGTGCTGACCTTGAACGGAAGCTTGAAGTTGCATGCTGCGTTTGATCGGATTGCAAAGGAAACTCAGTGGACATCCAAGCAATTCAAGAGAGCATACTATGAAGCGAAGAACTTTGTTAGTATTCTTGAGTTGGATGGTCCTGGTTATCTGCTTCGGATAGGGTCTGACGTAAACTGGCTGTGAGTACAAACCTCAGACCCAAAAATATTTGGCTAACAGCCCATACATAGCTGGAAGAAGTTCTGCAACAAAGATGTCGAGCACCTCCGTCAATTCCGCGAAGCCCAGTGTACCTTTCCGAAGGCTGACGACCAGTTCCACGCCGCCTCGCTCTGCATCCAAGGGTTAATTGCACACGGATGGACATCTGCTAATCTTGCGAAGAGTGATAGCAATCTGATGCGTTCCCTAGGCCTGTACGTTGACCTTGAACAGCTCTCAGAAGGGAATATAGTACAGAGGGAGGATCCTGGCCCCCGGGGAAAGAGAAGCGCTGACATCAATGATGATGGACCGAATAAACGCCAGCGCCGGAATGTTAGCACAGTCGATCTGAACGAGGCACCAACGGGCCAGGTGGAGTCACCAGACCGCGTCTACCATGATATTCAGCCTCAACACCAGAGCGCGGTCGGAGACGGAGATGGGAGTCTTTCACAGAACGACAACACCCGGTCGAGACGGGTTGCATGCAGAGTGTTCCAGCTTGGTTGTTATGTCGGCATCGACGCATCGAAGTAGACCGTAGGTAAGACTGGCCGGCCAGCTCGAGCTCGGGGTTGTAACCAGCCATTCCACAAATTTGGCTATCTCTATGGTGGCTGCAGACGGCAGTTGCTTTACTTCCGCCATGGAGCGACACGGATAGGCGTAACTGCATCATTTAGCTAGGTTTACACGATGAAGATATGAAACACACCCTCTTTGAATAAACGACCAAAGATTTTCGGCAGGGGCTGTCGAAGACAAGGCGTGGAGCGGCAGCTTGCAGCTCGTCGTGGTGAGGTCTGATGAGCAAAAATCTTAGTATTAACTTTGGCGGGGTCTTTGGCGGGGTCTTTGGCTCCTCTCCGCACGTGGGGCCCGAACGGAAAAGCTGCCCAAGGTTCGCGCAAAGTCCCGAAAGCCGCAATGGCACATGATCATGAATGTAAAAGGCTACGAACGCGTTGTCCTCTGTGGGCGAGATTTGCAATTCCTTCGCTGGTCACCGGTATTTTGTTGGTGCCTGATTGCCCATGCGCGTCATATGAAACTCTGCATCCTGCGGGAGCAGCCGCACTAGCATAGTGGGCGTCGACATCAAAGTCGTCATGCAAAGGGCATCCGCCCCATACCGCTTTGTGCTGCAATAGGCCGCTGACACTGTATTCTCCGCAGGTATACTCATGTCGCCCTCTCCTCTTTCATACCGTTTGATGACCCCGATTCAGACATATGCGCTCCTTGGTCCCTTTGAGACATGCACACGAGCATGTCGAAAGCGCTCTTTACAGCCACAAGCAGCGCCAAAAGGATATTTACGACGTCCGCAGGCCCGACAATCACTGAGGCGGTAAGAGAGGCGGAATGAGCATGTTGAAGCGCAAGGGAAAATCACGCGAATACGGCTACGTATATATACGGCGTACGCAGCCTAGATAGATGCTCATCCAATACATCACTTACCTCGTTCAATGCATTGTTTCACCTCCATCCTCGCAAAGGTCACGAGTTGACATTGGCATACTCTCGAGACCAATGCGGCAACTTTGAAGCCCTCATCCTTGACGAGAATACTGCAGAAGTCCTACTGCACTTTACAGAGAAAAAAGCACAAAGGTTGGAAGTTACACTTGAGGCTTTGTTCAACCATTTGACAACCGAAACCTTTCTCAATCTCAACGCTAAGAGGGAAGAACCTGGGAAAGAAGGGCCTCAAAAAGAGGAGGGGTTGATAGACGTTGGGAGTTGAGAAGATAATTTGACAGAGGGAGTGAAAGTTGGGGTGGGGAGCGGTGGCCATATATTGTGCAACAAGGAGGCTATAATACTTTCTTGCTTGCCCGATTCTACTGTGCTATACACCTCGTTTAATTCCACTCTTCAGAAATATATGTTGAAGGCACTCAAGTCGAAGCGTCTTGGGGCGGCGATCATGGCCGCCAAGACATTGTGGGCGCAGAACTCTAGTCGGGTGGGCTTCACAGGGGTATGCGGTATGGCGAAAGGGGGTTGTCGGCAGTGCCTTGGTGTTGACTTTCTTGAGCTGAGGTGACTCTTGGCACAGCCCCGCTCTTCGAAGGCCAAACATCAACACCATGCTCCAGTCTACCCATCGCAAACGCCGCTGAACAAAGCGCAGCTGCCTGTCACTCTCCTCGTTTCAACCCTAGCTCCTCGCAATTTTCCCCACGAGTGCGACACCAAGCTGCCGGCGTCGTCAGGACGGCATGCGCCGCCGTGGAAGCCCGCTACCCGTCCTCCTGCAACTCCAGCACAAGCCGTAGACTCCAAGAGCCGCCTCACCATGCGCTATTCGACGCCGCGGCGAGTGAGCCCCGTTCCCTGACGCAGCTCGCGAGTTCTGTATGCAATTGAGTTGTCCATCCTTCCGCGCAAGAAGAATGCTTACCACTTACCCCTGTGTGCAACATGTGCCGCAGTATGACGCTGCTCTCTCTCGTCCCCGCCGCAAGTCGCGGTTGATCCTACATGCATGCGCGTCAGCGGCGGCATACTTCTTAAGGTTGCCGGCGACGAGCGCCATCATCATCATCATCATCATCATCATCATCATCATCATAAACTCGCGCCAACCCGTTGCGCCATTCGCACGCGCTCGCCGCCCTTCATCACACCCAATTACGCCCACCCGTCTAGCAAACTTCCCTCACAATCTCTACCGTTAGCTGCCGCCCGTCTCCTTCCACCTCCGCCGTCGTGTCCTCCACCGGGAGGCAGTCAAAGCATTGCTGCGAGTCTGTCAAGCAAAGGGAACAAATTGGGCGGACAGTCAGCTCCTGGCTAGCTGCCCTGGTTGCAATGGGGATACCGAGAACACGGAATAGGAGGCATCTACAACTGGCGGATTGGGTGAGGGTGACGATGCGGGCTTGTGGGGACCTGTGTGAACGGGAGATCTTTCGGCACTCGGGTAAGCTGGATCGTGCAAGCTGGGGAATCCTGTGAGCAAATCAATCGTGCGAACTGGCGGATCGTGCAAGCTGGCGGATCGTGGGAGCAGTTCAATCGTTGGCCGAGGTCACCCTGGTCGCCATGATAGACCTATTGTAGTACAGGATAGGTTTAGGGGGGGGGGGGGGGGGGGGGCATCCAAGGGATCCATCCTCCTTGGAAAAACTTTCATGCCCTGAGCAGCCCCATAATCCCTCTCGGGGTGCTGGCCAGTCACCGGGAGCATCTTGACTAGGTTAGCGTGAGCAGCAATAAATAGATCAAGTAAGGCAAGTCCTGGAATTCGCAAATGACAAACTGGCGTCGCGTGAGGATCAGTTACCTCTCCTCCAGCTCCTTCTCGACGCTTCTACTCTTGCCGCCTCCACACTAGCTCTCCCCAACGGCCATCCTCATCCTCAATGCGGGGGGTGAGTCACGTAATCATCATTAATATCCGTATCCAGCATGGTGTCTTGAGATGTAGTCCATAGCTTTTCATTGAAGGGTTTGAAATGTGCAAAGAAGGGGAAATCCGCTCTACTGTGGGGAGAGCGGTTGGCAAAGCTGGCCTAAAGGGGCAAGGGAAAGGGATGTCCTGAGCTGGTTCGCAGCGCTTACGGGCCAGTTCTTAGACCTCGCGGAAGAGCAGCAGTTGGCCTCCCGGGTTCGACGCCGACCGCTGGCACAGCCCCACCAGCCCTTGGAAGGCTCCACGGCCGACCGCAAGTTGGATGTCGGCTTTGTGGACGACCCGAGCGCCGGCTTGGACTCAAAATGCCACTGGAAGCAGATTCTTGTGCCAGGAGAACTTAAGAGCAACCCATCGGCCGATACAGCGTCTAAAGCATGGCTAGACCTGGGGCGATATGCAAGAGAGGTACTCGCCGCCCAGGACAATCGCCGCTTTGTCCTTGGCTTTACTCTCTGTGGATCGCTCATGCGGCTGTGGGAGTTTGACCGACTAGGGGCTATTGGCTCCACGCAGTTTAATATTAATAAAGACGGGCTACAATTTATATCCGCGGTGCTCGGGTTCCTCTGGCTAAATAAGGAGCAGCTTGGATTCGACCCTTCTATTTTTACCACTGATGGGAGTTGGTACATCGAGATTAATTGAAACAACCGGAGAGAGCGTCTCATCATCGACGAAAGGATAAAGCGAGCGCCCTGCGTCGCCGGCTGAGGCACAACCTGCTGGAAAGCCCATCGTGAGGGAGACAATTTGCGAATGCCCCTTGTCATCAAGAACTCGTGGCAGTTTCTAGAGCGTGAGGAGGAGGGAGAGTTGCTGCGCGAGGCGACTGAGAAGGACGTGGTTAATGTCGCGAGATACTATCACCACAAGACGGTTCGTGTGGGCGGCCAGGACGACGATATACGCGGGAACGTGCGACGAGGCCTAGACGTAACAAAAGCGAAAAACTACAAACCGAAAAGCTCGATACCGCCTCCTCCAAGCAGCGCTGGAGGCCCCATCTCACGAAAAGGCCAAAGCAGCAGCGCCGTCGGACGGAAGCGGTCCTTGAGCTACACGGACGCGCCGTTGCTGCCTAGCAAGCGAATTTGTTCGAGCTCTCCGATCAAAGGTGGAAGGGCGACAGCGAATCGAGTGCATCGCCGCGTTATTGTCCGAGACTACGGGAAGGCCATCTACAAGGCGAGCTCTACAGTTAGCCTGTTGGCTGCGCTGGAAGGCTGCATCGACGGATACAAGTCGCTACACAAACGGGCCGGCATGCTACAATGCGATATCTCGCCGAACAACCTTATGGTGAATGAGGACGAGGGCAACCCCTCCTGGCGTGCGTTCTTGATCGATCTCGATCTTGCCATCAGGGAGCAGCGGGTGAAAGCTTCCGGAGCATGGGGGAAGACCGGCACACGAGCGTTCATGGCGATTGGGATACTTTACCACAACGAGCCACATTCATTCATGCACGACCTGGAGTCCTTCTTCTGGGTACTTTTTTGGATATGCATTCACTACAGCGGATCGCAGCAGAGAGTGGTCCAACAGTTCGACAAATGGAATTATGTGAACACGGAGGAGTTGGCCAAGCTGAAGCTAGGCACAGTATCAGATGACGAGACCTTTCGCAAAACTACCCTGGAGAACTTCACAGAATATTACCAACCATTAATCCCTTGCGTTGACAGATTGCGGAGGAAGGTGTTCCCTAATGGTAGGAGGTGGAAAGATCCGAATCCGAAGTTGTACTCTGACATGAAAGAGACACTTCGGGCAGCATATGATGAGTTGAATGAGGTAGAGGGATAAGGAGATGTATTATTTAACATGCTCGAGAAATTCACACCATATTTCTAGCCGTTGATCCCTTATGTTAACAAATTGCGGATGCCACCAGCCCGCCACCTTTCCACCGATTTGTTGAGCGGAGATCGCGGAGCTCCACAAAGTATGGCGATGAAACTAAATCGGCGGAAAAGAAGCAAGAACTTATGCCTGTCTACTACCTTTTTCAGAAATACAGAAGCAGAAAAATAGAAAGAGAATAGGTTGCCCGCTGCAGTAGGCCGGAAATAGACGGGTCCATGCCTCCCCACCTCGCAGCCTGTCATTCGCAGCAATTTATGCAGTACCCAAGCTAAGGGGAGGCCAGAAGGAAGGGAAGAGGAGGGTCGAGGGTCGGCAGGATGCGCATGCGCTTGGCTCGGAGAGCCAGGCGGACTGTTTGTCGGGGTCCATCCATGCATTGTTTTGCGCAATGCTGCCGAAGCCAGTCGAGGAGATGAACGGATCCGAGCCTCCAGAAAGCGTGCGCCTGTGCATATAGCTTCTCGAAGAGACGGCTGTTGAGTGCGCCCAGATTGGCTAGCGGTGGAGGATGCTCGTTCACGAGAAGCGCGTCGAGGACGCGCGAGAGGGCTGTAGGTGATGCACGTTCGCGAGGGGCCGCGGAAGATTCGCGCATGTCTGCACGCTCATCAGGAATGGTCGTGTAGTTAGGCCCTGGAGGCCTCGTGGTCCATATCCATTACGCCCTGATGGTCAGGCTTGTCGCGGCGCTGGTTCTCTGGGTACCACATCCCCTTCCTCCCAGGGTGCTTCTGCATGTTGAGAAAGAAGGATTTTTGTCCAAAGAGCCTCTTCTCGGTTTCCTGGATAATGGGCCAGAGTCGCTTTACTTCTTTGACAATTTCGGAGCGGTACTCGGCCATCCACGGGTTAACATCTCGCGAGCTGCCATTGAGTAGGAGATCCCGGTCGGCGAGGACAGCAGGCGAATCCCATTTCCGTAGGCCGGTTAGGGCAGCACAGATTGGTCGAGGTGGGTTGAGTTCTGGAGCCGCTCCAAAGCGATACGGGGCTGTTCCATACATGAACCCATGGCTGGAGAGCGTCTTTTCCGTCATAGTAAGGTCACGCGCCGCCTGTGAGATCTCTGGCCATGTAGTTCCCTCGGTAATCTCTAAGTGAATATGGTCTTCTTGAATGCCGACAAACCAGGGGAGGAGTGTACGGCGGACGACCAGAAAACTCGCCATTGGCTAGGCCGCCTACCGCCCTCACATCGCGCCACGCGATCATCCACCGAGGGTCAAGCGCGCAACGCCAAACCAAGAAGCCTTCGTGAGTCCAGAAATCAGTTTTTGCAACTTGCGAGCAATATGTCAGGTGTAGGCGCGCGGCCTTCCTCCCCACGTACGAGATTGTCCCCTAATCGAACGTCCCGCATTAGAACAGCAAGCAGCTGCAGGCGCGCGCATACGCTAGAAAGAGAAATCAATCAGGTCCTCGTCTTCAAATTGTTCATAGTCATCGCGGTTGAACTGAGGAGGCGGTACAATACGGACTTCAACGCGCCGGCGTCCGGGCGGCACAGCGGCAGGCGTTCCATCGCCATTGAAGCGCTGGTACTCTCCCCGGTTAAGCAAGGGCGGTACTGCAATGCGCACCCCTGGCTGTCGACGTACTGGGCGCTCTGGTTCTATGTCTGGCCTATCCGCTGTCGTCTCTAGCAGTGGAGGCTCCATCTCCGGGGGGCGCTCCCTTGGTGCCAAGGCCTCGGTAGCAAGGGAGGCGCCAAGGAAAGCCACTCCCTTCCTTTGACAGCAAGGAAGCACCACAACTTCGTAAGGAAGAGAAAGGGAGAGTAAGGGATACCTAGTGAACCGTATGAATTGCTGATCCTAGGTTGCTGCGACCCGAGTGTTTCCCAGTCTCTTAGCCATTTTTCTACGGTTCGTTCAGTGGGGTAGTGCTTCTGCTCCTGCCATAGGTTGTAGATTTCGTCCCGGCGTGCTTTGTCTGATGGCGCGATGGATTTCTTGAGTTTGGCAAGTAGATTGCGTGCTGATGAGATGCCGTAGGTATACGTGGTGTATTTGGCATCCACAGTTTGTAGGATAAAAATGCGTAGGTCCTGCAGTGATTCCTTTTGCTTGTCGAATAGGACCTTGTCGTCCTTGTATTCATCGTATGCCATCTTCCAGGTCATTTGCGCGGCAAACGTACTATCGTCAGCTGCTGGGGGCGCGGGCTTTGTAGGTTCTGGAAGCATTTCATCGACGTTCGCATCTGTTTTCAATGGATCGATGATGCCCCAGATTCCCCTTTGTTCGGCCTTTGCCTGGATAATTTTCCGAGGTTATTCCGACGCTCAACGTCGACCCATCCTTTCGCTGCACTCCGACCAACATATATACGGCTCTCGCTCTCATGCCAACTCTCAGCATGGCCAAATACCGCACAAAGCCGTTTAATCGAACAGAAGAGCCGAGCTCTTGTGTCAACGGCAGAGGTGAGTATTCGATTCGCGCGACGAAGATCATGCTGACCGAGAATAGGGGAGTCGCATCGTAGCATTGAGAAGAAGCGGGCCCCGGGACCTATTCGCAGAAGTGCACGCTTGAGAGAGATACAAGCTCTCGATAGGAGCCACGAGGAGAGCTACTCATTCCCATCTCCAGCCAGCGACGTTCCCAGCGGAAAGGCATGTCAGCCTCTGCGCTCGCAGCTATGAAGCTAACGTCGATTCAGTTCCCTCAGCACCGGACGGCCACTCCACAAGCCAACGATGGGAAGAGAAAACGACAGCAAGAACCCGAAGACGAACTTGGCTCCACTCCAGCTGGAAAGAAACCGCGAGCACCCCCGACACGCCCCAAGGAAGGAACACCTGGCGTGAAAGCAGCGAGATGCATCGAGAAGACCAATCCGATCGACTATTGGACAAAGAAGAAACGCTGGCCCAAGAAGTACTTTAAACAAGACGATCAGACGAGGAAAGATTTCAACAAAGATTCCGAGAAAGACAGCTGGTTTGAGAAATACTGGCTACCAAACATGAGCCATCCACTTCCAAAAAAGAAATCCTCATCTTCTCGTCTCAGACAATCAGAATATGGCTCTGCGGTGCCGCCTTCCACCCCGAGCGATCAGAAGCCGAGGGAGCAGAAGAGTGCACCATACGCGCAAACGCGCTATGTAACTCTGCTTGCCATCAAAGGCAGCTTCATGGATAAAGATGAAGAAGGCATCAAGGACAAAAGCAAGAGTCTTTGCCGAACTTTGCTTGAGAGTGACGACCAGACAGTACCTCAATATTCTCTATTTCACGACCATCTTATTGAAGCGGTCTGCCGGAAGGTACAGTATAGAAACGAAGCCATGGTCATTCAAGATATCACTCGATTGATCGTCCCTTCGGCAGAAAACCTCGCCATCTACGGCTCAAAGCACCTCAAAATACTTATCGAGACAGCGAACGAGGGCTGGAATCGCTCAAGACCCTTTGTCGGACCTCGTCCGCAACCCGACTACTCAGTGGGATTCCGGCGAGAGGCGTTCACAAAAGATCAGCTGAACAAGCTCGAGGGCTTGGTTGGCGATGTTATAGCCGGAGACATGTCCTTCTACATGGCCACCTACTTCATGTACCTCCCGTTCCTTACATGCGAAGTTAAGTGCGGCGCTGCGGCGCTCGACATCGCAGACCGGCAGAACGCCCACAGCATGACGCTTGCTGTGAGAGGAGTTGTTGAGATGTTCAGACGCGTCAAGCGCGAGAAGGAGATTGATCGCGAGATCTTGGCATTTTCCGTGTCGCACGATCACCGGAGCGTGAGAATCTACGGCCACTATGCTGTTATTAATGGGGCCGCAACTACCTTCTACCGCCACCCGATCCGCGAGTTCAGCTTCACGGCACAGGACGGGAAAGAGAAGTGGACGGCGTACAAATTCACCAAAAACGTCTACGATGTTTGGATGCCAAACCACTTCAAACGTCTCTGCTCGGTCATCGATGAGCTACCGCCTGAGCATGACTGGGATGTCCCGCCGCTTTCGGAGGGAACCGGGCTTTCTCAGGTGTTCGAAAGTCATCATGTGTCTCGATCGAACACTGATTCTGCCTCAGTGCTCCAGGTGAGCCTCCCCGGATCTCAAGATGTTACTCCGAATACGTCTTCCTCTCAACCCGGGCTATTCAGGAAGCCGCGGAAAAGGCGTGATGCTGGGCAGTAGCGTCAGAAAAGCGAGATGTTTCACGGAATGTCTTGCCGACTAGTTTCGGACAAGGGGGGTTGGGATGATCAAATGCTGGCTTAGGGTAGGGGGATGATGGGCATATTTACGCTGTGTACTACTTCATGCCAGTGAATTGTTATTGTTGTTGCTACGCTATGAAGTTCCAACCCAAAGGCAGCTTGAATTTGACCCGACGACCTCGATCGAATCCTATAACTCCTGTGAAAGCCTAGAATTCTCCTCCAGTCCATCAATCGTTGCTGTGAAGCTGGTTTCGCATTTGAGCTGCGCAGGTGGGTAGGCCGAGGGACCAGAAACGGGCCCTGTTGAGAGCTTCGCACGCAGCCTTTCGTACGATCCAGAAGTGCGCACGCAGCTTTTCGCACGTGAAATGTTGACCTACGACCATTCTCATACGCAACTCAACTTCGTACGTTCCATAGAGTCGCAAGAAGCGATGCCTCGCACGCCTCTAGCCTGCGTATGAGGAGGTTCCCACGGAACATTCCCTCGCACGCTAGAAGCATACACACGAAGAGTTTCCCACGAGGTGTTCAATCGCACGAGGTGATCGAATATATGCCCTATCAACAGTTGCGCTTCATACTCTGGATTCCTCCGCTGTACATACGACGGTTGTTGTGCCCCAAGGGCCAAATTGAGGGTGAGAAGTGACCAAACCTACTACCTAAATTGCGATCCCGAGCCATCGCTAACCGCTATATTATCCTCATCTGCATCTACAACCTCAACAGGTGGTGCAGGGCCCTCCAATATAGCCTCCTCTTCAACCTCGCGTAGTTCCTGCTCGGCCAACGCGTCGCCGTCACCGTCAGCAGCCATAGCATCTGCTTCCTCGCGTTGTGAGGTCCTCAATCGCTCCGCCGCCTGCTCAGCCAGTGAGGCTGGTGATACTCGCGATGCACCGAGCGACGCGGCGTGCTCCACATCATCAAATGCATCTGTAGCCGGAGGGCCGTAGGATGACCGTAGACACTCGTTTGCCTCAATTATATCGATTCCAAGGCGTCGCCTACGCTTATCTAGCAATATAGATGCGCTGCTGAATAGCCTCTTGCACTCATCGCTCATCGGTGGCACGGCGAGGACGTCTAACGCAAAGCGGGCGAGGTCCGGCCAGGTATAATATCGATCGTTCCACCATGCAATGATGTCATTAACATCGAGAGAGGCATCTGGTGTTGCTCCGGCACGCACCTGGCCAGCTGCGAGAGGAGCTGTTTTAATATACTCGGCGTAGAAGTCGTTAAGGGGCTCCGTAGGGTTGTCGGCCGACAGCCTGAGGCGCTTATGATCTCGTGCAGATGTGTATAGGAAGGGCGTTCGAGGTGGAGGAGTTGGTGTAGGCTCGGAGGAAGGGTCGCGTTCAACGTGAAGATGCGATGTTTTACTGCGATAGCTATCCTGCCAGTACGTGTTAACGACTCTCTTAGCAATATCAATATAGCTACTCTTGACGTCGTGTCCTCTCCAGGCCTGTTCGAACCATGCAAGCTTGAGCGTTGGATTGAGTATGATAGCGGCGTAGTAGGCATGCGATTTGGTGTCGGCTTTGAGATAGTATTTGTGCGCCTTGGACCATGCCGTCAGAGCGCAGTTTGAGAGATATTTCCATGCATCGCTATTAAGGCGGCGTCGTGTAGATTGTGATAATTCGAGGAACCTAAGCTTAGAGGAATCAAGAGTATCAAGCAGCCAGTCAAGGGCTTGGAAATGGTCAGCAAGCGTTGTTTGACGGCCCTCAACCATAAGCGTAGCCTCATAGAAGGGCTCAAGATGATCGTGGAGGTGCTCAAGCTGTTTCCAATGTCTGGGGGCAAGTATATCATCATCAGCAAGCTTTTTCGCATTCTCAGACGGAATATAGGTATCACAGAACTCCTGGATGCGCTCCTTGCAGTTAAGGAAGCGGCCGATTGATGTAAATAGCGAGTTCCAGCGCGTTTGGTTGTTTTGGATAAGCTAGAGCGTCCAATTAGCCCTGGGGATCTCGCGATAGGGCCGTGGTGTTGAGGTTCGCGATGCCCGGCACAACCTCGGGCCACGGATTATCTGTTCTTCCAACGCCGCAGCGAGGTAGGGCCGGCCAGTGCAGAGCTTAAAAGTGGGCAATTTTCACCGGGGAGGGATATTGGCACACCCCCCTTTTTCACTCCACGCGCACCCCCCCTCTCGTTTGATCTTCTGATTGGCTGGAGCGGCTCGGAGCTTCGTCCGGAGCTCTATTCTCACGTGCATTTGCACGTGTAGCCTTTCTTATTCACTTAGCCGTAAGTGAGCTCATACGTGAAGCTATACAAATCGGCATAGCTATACAGCCACTCTATTTTACAGTGCATTCTTTCCGATTCGTGTGGCCTTACATATGAGCTCACGTACGGCTGTATATACGGCTGCACGAATTGAAAAGAATGCAACGTAGAACGGAGAGGCTGTATAGCTATGCCGATTCGTATGGCCTTATGTATAGCCTTACGTACGAGCTCACGTACAAGCTTATTTACGAGCTCACGTACAAGCTTACATGTGAGCTCATGTACGAGCTCACGTACGAGCTCACGTACAAGCTCACGTACGAGCTCACGTACAAGCTCACGTACGAGCTCACGTACAAGCTCACGTACGAGCTCACGTAC